CATGCTGCCATACTATCTCCTAACTTGAAGGAGAAAATATTATTTTTTCCATTCACATGATTTCCTCCTTGGCAGTGTGCTTGTTAGAAATCCCTTCAAAGACTTGGTAAAAGCCACAGAAGAGGGTTAAAAGATCCTTCTTACTGAAAGAATGTCTCTTGACCGCTTTGTATATTTGTCCTCTTATCAAACTTTCAGAGGCTCTACTAAGAGAGAAATGATGCTGTATTAGCAGATCAGGTTCTCCTGGGTTCTCTTCTATCCAAAGAAGCAGAGCAAGTAAGTGAAAATAATCAAATGAGAGCTAGAAAGAATTTTAATTCAATTTTAACTCATTTGACAGGTGAGAGAAACTGAGACCCAGGCAAAGGGCTAGTAAGTGGCAAGACTAGGATTAGAATTTATGCTACCTTAATTGTTAACCTTCTTTATATAGTAACAAAGATTTCTGCCAGGAAAGGAATAAGGGAACCTATGTAAATAAATATGACAGTGAGGAAGGTAGATTTGTTACAAAAATATAACGTATCTTAACACTAAATATCATACTGCCTTGCATTTGTATAGCATTATTTTTAAAGCATTTTCACATTTATTATCTCATTTAGTGCTAAAATACCTACTTAAAAGGGATAAAGGGAATTGTGTGAATAAATAGGGTAATAGGAAATTAGACATTTTCGAAATCACCATGTAAGCTAGGTAGTGTAAGCATTATTATCTTCATTTTATAAGTATGGAAAGAAAAGGTAATGTTTGTATTGTTTTATATTTTGGGTTATCTATGCCACTGCTTCTCTTCCATTAGTGTGAATAAATAGTTAATTATATATGCTGTTACTAGCCAGCATGAAAGCTTCATCCTTTTATTACTGACTGTACTGATGATTTGAATCCCAGTTCAAAAGTACTTTTCTTTTCTGACTCGTAAATAAACACTTACTTTCCCACCTCTTCCATAGAATGGTGATGAAATAGAGCTCTTCATATAGGGCTTTGGGTCATAAAGGTTCCTGGTGGTCTTGGTGGTGGCAGAATACTATCAGGACCAAAGCTTGACTGCTGGTGATAATAAGATGGCTGCTATGATCGGGGAAAACCTAATCAGACATAAAACGGGTAAGTTTTTCCCTTTTAGCACCAGAGCTAGCACCTGTAATGAGGCTGCTGGGTAAGGAGAACTCTCTGAGAGCTTGATAACAAAAGGAGGATAATAGGGCCACATTACAAACTACCTCCTGTTTTTTGATTCTCTCTTCCCCTCATCCCCTTTCGGTTCCACTCCCCAAACCCGTGGCCCAGGACCCAAATTCCTATTATAACTGTCTTCTTCCTTCATGTATTAGGATAGGGCTCATCCTAGGCAGATTGATTTTTAATACCATATGGGAAACAAAACCAAGTCAAGGATAGAAAAAAGGAAGAAATGGAAGAAGAGAATATCTCCTTACCCCATGCATTCCTAAAAACCAATCATACTTGGGAGGAATAGACAGGGCTGAGAGGAGGATCAGGTGCACAGTCACATGTAGGCCCTCTCTATGTGGGTTTTCTCCCACAACCCTATTCATAGTGACACAAGTAATCACTCTTTAAAAAAGAAATAAATACAACGTATCACTGTGTATATGTCTTAAAAGACTTCCTGCCCTTGAAAAATAATGGGCTCTACCTATGGGCTTAATGTAAAATGAGTAAATTTACCAATTTCAATTTCCCAAACCAAATCTTGACTTCAGATGAACTTATCCTAGTCTGCTAATCCTTACCTTATTTACCGTAAAAGACTGACAACTGTGGGGAGGAGGAAGAGGCCCAGCAGGGTTGCAGAATAAGAGATCAGATTGAAAGAGTTGGGAGATTATCTAGTTCACTCCTTATTCACATCATAAATCCTATCGACATCCCCAAGGACCGAACATTCAGTTCCCACTTTGAGACCTATCATGATGGGGGAATTCACCATGGCAGCCAATTCCATTTTTAGACAACTTTAATTGTTGGAAAGTGTTTCCTTATATTTGAATCAAAATCAGCTTCCCTTGTAAGTTCCCACCCACAGCAAAGTCTGTGATCAGAAGCCGAGAGCCTACTTCTTCCACATGACAATCTTTCAGATATCTGAACCCAGCAACCATGCTAGGTAGGGCCTCTTCCCTCCATCATTCATGTCTTCTCTTTTCCAGGTGAAATGTCCTCAGTTCCTTTAAATAAACCATACCAAGGTCTCCTCTAGTCTCACTATTCAGGTGATCCATCCCTGGATGAAGGGTCAACCCCCCTTGATAAGCAGTCTTTGGGCTCAAAATGAAAAGGATGGTGGGAAGTTTCAGGTGTTTTCCCTTTTTTCCAAGTGCCAATGAGTGAAAGTGGGAAAGAGGAGCCTTTTGCATATCTTTGAATGAGAGGTTTCCCTGGAAAGATCTGTGCTTGGGATCAGGCTGCAAATCTAAAGTTTACTGTTCTTAGTCCTTTTTTTTTACTGATGGTGCAATAATAGCTGTTTGTACAGCAGGCAGGAAATAGCTCAGTGGGGAGTGGAGCTGAGCTGCTATTAGTTTTGCCATTAGGCAATTAGCCCTCAGTTCCTCCTCCTTCCCCTCAAAAATCCCCAATCAGTTTTCTAAATATTCAAACCACAAAATAAATAGATCCACGGTCGAAGGAAAGGAATGGGAAGGTGGGGGCGGGGTTGTTGGCTAACACCTTTTTTTCTCCTTCAAATGGATTCAAAACATGCCTTTATAGACTTGCCGTTCACTAGGAGGAGGCCTAACTCCTGCTAAGAATATGATTCTATGTCCCTTATCAAGTTTTGCTAAGCTTCCCTTGGTAATGCCACAGCATTATTTTTCCAGTTCTGGCATCTTATGAGCTTAAGTGTTTTTATTTTTATTTTGTTTTTTGTTTTTTTAGGAGGAAGTAATTGGAATATTTGAGGTAGGAAAGAATATGGGGAATTAAGGGATAATAGTGATTGCTTTATGGTGGAAAAACAGTTATTTTGACCTTCCCTTTTCCAGGACTGATGTAATTACAGAAGAGGGAGAGGAAACTATAAGCTTTGGATGTGCAATCAGACTTCAGAAATTCTACTGAATTTTGATTATTCTCTTCTGTTTTACTGTTTTGTGTAATGGCTGGCATAGTGATTACTAAGTGTTTCTTGGCCACATTCAACTTTTTTGCTTACTGGTTATTTGTATTTTTAATGATGGTTTCCTAGATGAAGATCATTTCATTGTGTCCTGAGTTGATATTTTTGCTATATAATTTGATAAGGAGGGGAGGGGAAGTCTGAGAATAATTGACTATACAGAATTCAACTAGCTTAAACATCCCACTTTCAGTCTGGTAATTGAAATATTTTGTGGGGACTTGAGCTTTATGAATTTTATGAATAATCTGTATTTTTAACCTTTTGAACTTTGCAGAGAAAAAAAGTCATGTGGTACTGGGACCCTTATCATAGGTTAAAACCCTCATGAACTAATTGAGAGGTTGTTTTGAACAAAGGTCCGTTGGGCTTTTTCCATCACAACACCTCTCCCCACCTTCTGCTCCCCACACCCAGAAGAGAAGGCAGAGGGACTAGAGCTAAGGACCTCAAGAGAAGGTCATAACTTGAGCCAGCTCCAATGGGTGGAGACAGGTGTGGTAAGGAAGAACCAGTTCTATTTACTTCCCCAATCCAGAAAGGGGGAGAATTCCCCTCAGTTAAACTATCCTCCATAGCAACACCTGCTGGGTATCAAGTATATATCTAAATTTCTACTAAAGTAAATCCAAAACAGATACATTAAGCACTCGTTGCACTATGGCGGGAGCAATACAGAGTGTAGGTAAGGCACAATCCCTGCCCTCAGTTTGGTAGATATAAAGTGTTTGCAACAAATCTCCTGTTCACATTTTCCCCACCTCTACAACCAAAAGACCCACAAAGAAATGCAAAGGTTCTTTCAAGACTAAACTTCAAGTTACTTGAGGGGGATACTGTGTATTTCCCCCAGTGCCTAGCACATAGTAAATTCAGGTTGTTTATCTGAATTTTTTATAAGATCATCATGCAAAATGTCATTAGCTCATTAATGTATGGTACACAGATTATAACTTGTTTCACTTCTGGCTAGGGAGTAATTGTGTCTTCTTCAATTCTTGACTGATGGAAAGTTGGTCTGAGGTGAAGCCTGTTTCTAAAATTTTTTTGTTTGTTTGTTTTTTTGCATGAGGGTAGAACAAGGGTGTCAGCATATATACTGAGTAATAATAACTAACATAGAAACAATGCTTTCAAGGTTTCCAAAATGCTTTACACACATTGTCTCATTTGAGCCTCATACAACCCTGTAAAGTAGGTGCTTGTATTAAACACCATTCTTTTACAGATAAGGAAATTGAGGCACAGAGAGGTGTCTGGACTTGCCCAAGTTCATACAACTGCTAAGTCTCTTGAGACTGGACTTATACTTAGATCTTTCTTACCCCAAGCCTAGTACTCCAGCCCATTAGGCAACACTGCCTTTATTTTTAGTTTAAAGATGGCAATAGGCTTAGACATTTGTTTAGTTAGCCTCTATGTTATGATATTTGATGGCTGGTGAAAAGTAGAGGCTGCTGGCTTCCAGTAAGTGATTCTACATAAGAACTGTTCCTATGGTGATTTCTAGAATGAAGGTGGGTTTTCTCTACTCACTGGCCCTGGGGACTTTGTGATGTCCTGCAAAGTTGGAAAGCGAACATCAGGGTGATTATGAAAGTCCAAGTAATTTGGGGCACATAGCTCAATTTCATTTCATGCTAGAACTATAAAAAAATTTTTTTAAACTTTAAAGAGCTTAAATCCAACTGCTTCATTTAACAGATGAAAATGTCTATAGATTTCAGCATATATGCTGACCATAACCCTAATTTTAAGCTGTTTTGAAGACCCAGATAACAAAGGATAAGGATAACACAAGACATAATGATTAGAAATACTTAATTAAAAAAAAAGACTGTGTACTAAATGTTGATCCAGTATTCTACAAATTAAGAGCTGTAACACAACATATCTATACTTTCTCATTAACTTATTTTAATGCTACTGAGAAAAATTGTGTCCACACGGCAGAAATAATTGGCCACAGAACTTAAATTCTGAATTTGGTCTGTGTGTGTGTCAGCTGGTAATACCAGCAAGGCCCAGGCTTAGTTAGGGGATAAGGAAAAATCAGGAAAGAAGGAAGGAAAGAGGAGGAAAAAGAAAGTTAGAGGGAAAATAGAAGAAATACGAGACAAGGAAAGAAAAGAGGAAAAAAAGAAATATGCATGGAGAGGAGTTGTAGAATGCCTCAGATGCCACTCGGTAGCACCAATAGTCAAGGCTGCCTACCGTTGTTCTTGTAGCATGCTTTTCTTTCATTTAGTACTGAATGATTAGGTTAAAAACATTATGCAGATTAAATATCCAGTTAAGTCACTTGTATTCTCATAGGCTATGTCTGCACTATGGGAAACATCTAGATGACAAGTGAAAAATCCAGTCTATACTGGTGTGTTCCCAAACAGCAGGATCTTCGGTACTGGGAAGACAAAACAGAACTGATCTGATTTTTTCACTTTTCATTCTGTTGTTTTGGCACCATGTAGACAAAGCCACAGAGGTTTATAATTAGTCCAAACAGTGCATCTCAAAAGTGCAGTTCAAAGAAAATCTTAATGAACAGTAGTATGGTGAATTTAAAAGGAATGCAGAGCTCCAACAAGCTTTTACCTTTTGTTAAAATGTTAAAAACTATTTTGAAAAATGTTAAAACAGCCTTTCAAATCATTACCATTGGTTGACAGTAAGAAATAATGTATGCTGGACAAAATAGTGATGGGAGTTTGAATTAATTTCACTACCTGTTGATCTGTTGGCTGGTAAATAACATATTTGTGGGCTGGTAAATACTTTGTAGTTGTTTTCCTAAGGCTGTTAAAGGTAAAGTGATGCTCCTCCACATGTGATGATGATACTACTGGCCCACCATAGGTAGGACATTTTCTTTCAGTAATTTTCCAGTCCCATGGAATCCTTCTATACTCTCACCCAATATAGGGTTGGCAATACTGGCACATTTCTTTTGTTATATCAGCAGAATGTCTCTGTAACAATTAGCCTAACTCAAAGCAGTGTATGTAAACAGAGCTAGGGCTTGATAAAAACAACTATACCTAAAAACATACCTTATATACTAAAATCCTCTTTGTGGTTAAAAATGAACTTCTATGGGAAGTGACAAGTTGGTTACACTGAATAAATTGGGCAAGAAATTCCTATACGAAGGCAGTTAATGTCATTCCTGGTGATTGCCACTCAACTAAAGTCTATATCAATCCACTGTTCACTGTGCATGCCAGAATCACACATGATGAAAATAAAAATATGTGCACATTATTCATCAGAGAGAAATAATGTTACACACACACATACCAAATAAAGTTAACGCATTAGTGGTGTGAATAAAGAGGAAGCAATTAACGGAAATGAATGACCTTTGCAAAAATGGTCTCGCTGGGGCAAGAGTTTAAGGTTGCGATCTTAACAGCTAGCTGCCTTAGGCAGAGCTCCACTTCTCCGATGGTTGGGTTATCGCCGGTCACCTTCTACTCGTTTCTTGCGAACTAGGCCAAAGAGAAATTAAAATAAATGAAAAATAAATTTAAAGAGAATAAATTTACTATTCACAAAGCATTTCAGATTTTAAGTATTCACACACAAAATAGCAGTCCTATACGATATCCTACACACATTTATATCATAGTGATCAGAATTCTCAGTTATCGGCGTCTATGGATGAGAGTAGTATCATCTGAACTTTAAAAAAAAAAACGGTCTTGGGATGCATTTTAATATTTACATTTGAATTCTGGCAATGCAGAATGTTTCCTACTGTATTTCCATTCAGGAGGAGCCAGAAGGAAGGTCTAGCTCAGGGGTGGGGAACCTGTGGCCTTGAGGCCACATGTAGCCTTCTAAGTCCTTGGGTGCAGCCTTTTGACGGAGTCCAAGTTTTACAGAACAAATCCTTTTATTAAGGGGATTTGTTCTGTGAAGTTTGGATTCAGTCAAAGGTCTGCACTTGAGGACCTAGACGGCCACATATGGCCTTGAGACTGCAGGTTCCCCAACCCTGGTCTAGCTTCTCCACACTACTCCCAACTCGACTTCTCCTTACCCTCCACTTCAACACAGGGAAGGGATGGCATGTCTCGGAGACTATGGAAACACTAGCTAAGCTACCCTCTTTTCATTTAAAATTTTCTGTCCAAGCAAGTAATCAAATTTAATTACTTTGTGTTTTAAAATGTCTTTTCCTGATAAGTGATTCTGATCATCCAAGAAAACTTCAACTTTTTTTTTGCCCCTTAACTCTTGCTGGGCTCAGTCATTATGTCACCTAAGGAGTTGTAAACAAAGTGATTCAGCCCCAAGGCCACAGATCAAGGTTAAAACACAATTCTGACATCCTACTAGTAAATAATTAAGATAAGCTATATAGTGAAAACTCTCTTACCCAACACAAGATTGATAAAAGTAGCACTTTGTGCTCATGACATCAGAATATTTAATGTTAAGTATCTAGTCGAGGCAATAAACATTTATTAAACACCTACTATGTTCCAGGCACTATGCTAAGTCCTAGAACGCAGGTTTTTAACCTGGGGTCTGTGAACTAATTCAATATTTCCTTTGTTTTCCTATGTATTTTATGCATTTAAAAACATTATTCTGGGAAGAGGTCCATCTATAGGTTTCACCAGGCTACCAAAGGGATCCATGACACCAAAAAAAAAAAAAAAAAAAAAAAAGATTAAGAACCCCTGATCTAGATGCAGGTCTTACACAGTTATAATGAGTGCTTGAAGTGGGAAGTGCAAGAGAAACCAGGATGGTATTAATAACTCTTTCTCTTACTGAAATTACCTAGAATACCTGTCACCAGGCACCAATTTTGAGGGTTACATAACAAATCACTGTCATAGGGCCCCTAAATCTCTATTAGTAATCTGAAAATTGAGCTTGATTTTTTTAAACCATTTGACTCAATAGAGCAAAATATAGCTTTAAAGACTTTCCTCCAATAAGGTATTCCTATGTATGTGTTACCATCATACAAAGGGTTACTTAAGGGACATAACCTTAGAGATAATTTAGTTTAATTATCCATTGATTACGTGTATTAAATAAAGCAAAAAACTAGGGCACCAAATATGTCAGCCTATGGTGTCAAATTCAAATAGAAACATTTTGGGGGAGGCAAAGTAACTTAGGCAATCAGAAATTACATTATCTATGTTGTATTATATTTTTCTTAATGTTGTTACTCATTGCCCAATTACATTTTAATCTGGTTTGGTGGAACTTGGGAGTCAGATCAGGCCTGAGTTTGACACCTCTGTTGTAGAGGTTGTTTTGAACACAATCCACAAAAAAGAAGAAAGATTTCCTAGATGCTAAAGTCCAGCGGGTGATCCCGCTTTCAGATAACATTGGGTTGATTGCATTTAACTCTAGAACACTATGTGGTTTCCTCGGTGAAATCTGCAGCTGCTCAGAAGAAATGAGTCTAGTAATCCACACAGGAAATACCAAGCAGATGAAGCATGTAATATACTGCTCATAATATTGCAAGCAGATGTATGGACAATTCATTGAGTCAGGAAATCAGGACATGTATCTTGGACAGGTACTGAAGATTAATCATACTCACATCCTATACTAGATAAGGTTGAAATGGGTACATGTTTTAGAGATGAGGGACAATACCATAAGCAAATTAGGAGAGAATGGAATAGTTTACCTGTCAGATCTATGGAGAAGGGAAGAATGTATGACCAAGCAAGATTTAGAGAAAGTTATTAAATGCAAAATGGATAATTTTTATTACATTAAATTAAAAAAAGTTTTTACACAAACAAAACCAATGCAACCAAGATTAGAAGGAAAGAAGAAAGCTGGGAAACAATTTTTACAGCCAGTGTTTCTGATAAAGGCTTCATTTCTCAAATACATAGAGAACTGAAGATTAACTATAAGCTGGGCCAGGACTGAATGAATAAGGGAAGGGCTAGATGGCATTTGTAAAATTGCATAGTACTTTTAAAGACCCCAAGCTGCTGTGATTTTACTGAAGGCATAAAAGGCTTTCTTTGCTTCTCTGCTGAAATCTCTATCTGATATGTACTGTCCCTAGCAATTTCAGATTTCTTATAACCTGGCTAATTCAGATTGTTTGCTTTCTGCAAAGCCACTATTGCCTCTGTAAGTTCTTTATCTACTTTTCCGAAAAAAAAAAATAGTAGAGCTCTCAAATAATTTATAGTGATAAATCTTTCATGGGGACAAATCAAATGCAGTGTAGAGAACACATCTACACTGGCTTTTATGATTTAGGAATGACAAGTTTTGTGTATGCTGGGTATATCACACTCAATAGCCTCCAAGATAGGGTTATATCTTCTGATGAAAGTTAATTGGTACATCTTTGGTCTATTACTGATTAAACCAATTAATATGTCTCCTGCAGGAAGGGTTCAGCTCCTGACACAAGCTAGGTTTGAAGCTAAGACTAGCCTGACATGGAGGCCCATTAGGGAATGTCATCCATCCAGCAATTTCTCTGACTCTATCATAGACTTGAGACCCCTGGAAGGACCCTTAAGAGGCCAAGTCCAACCCCGCTCATTTTATTGTAAAAACTGAGGTCCAGACAGGTTAAAATGACGTGTTCAAGGTCACAAAAATGATAAGTGGAATAGTCAGAATTTGAACCTGGATCCTCTGGTTCTAAGTCCAACACTTTCTACTTTACCAGGCTACCTCCCTTAAGGGAGCCAAAGTCAGACCACACCAAGGTTGCTATTTTCTTCTATTTCTTTGTGATAAAGGGCAGGCCACTACAAAATTAAATAAAGAATTTCAAGTCCTAAGTACCATCATTCAGAGTCTTTTGAGGAATTGTGCTATTCAATTTTGCCTCAACTTTTTTTTCTTTCTAAATTGTAGTTGGCCAATTGTATTCAAGGGTACAAAGAACACACTTTCACCTTGAAAATCTGGTGCAAAAGTCCAACAGTCAAAATTACCTACTGTGAGGTTCAACTGGGACATGCGGTTTTACTCTTTGAAATCAACTATTAGCTATAAAAATGCATCTACTTAGAGAGATGCTAGGTTTCAAAATGTCTTACATGAAAAAAATTGCCTTAAACTTCATGGTTGGGCTTTAGACAATGCAGATTAAAAGAAGAAGGGAATGGTTGGTTAATCGACAATCTTTTGCTTTCAATCAGTAAGTTTAATGCAAACTTGACAATTTAGTGTTTCCTTGTTGCGAATTATTTGTGTTATCCTGTTAGGGTACCTTTAATGTCAGCTCATTCAGATAGAAAACCATTTCTCTTTCCTGCCTACCATGTTGCCAAATGATTTCTAGAAGCACTTCTCTGCCTTTACCACTCACTATGCTCATGGAGTCAACCCTTCTGTTTCATAAAGATACTACACTATTGTTTTTTGAATTTTCTGATACTTCAGCTCATCTGTAATCTCATCAATGTGGGGACTTCCTCTAATGGTAATGGTTCCATGCAGTACTTGCCCATGTCCCCATATAAATCTTCCACAGGGGGTCCACCTAACACACTGAGTTGTTCTTCTAGATCTCTTGACATTGTCTGTATGCCAATGGAGACAGGTGGGGGTGGCGCAGTGGATAGAGTGCTGGGTCTAGAGTCAGAAAGACCTGAGATCAAATCTGGCCTCAGACATTTACTAGCTATATGACCATGGGCAAGTCACTTAAACTGTTTGCCTCTGTTTCTGTAACTGTAAAATGTAGATAATAATAGTGCCTACCTCTCAGGGTTATTGTGAGGATCAAATGAGGATAATAGTTGTAAAGCTTTTAGCACAGTAATGTAGCACTATAATATGTAATGTAATAAGCACTATATAAATGCTTGTTTCTCTCCATCGCCTTCCCCCAATGGAGCATGTCAGCTACACATCAGTGGCTTTTGCCACAGAATGGTTGAATAGTCAGATTCAAAGAGTAATTGTTAATGTTTCAGTGACAACCTAAAAAGTCTCCAGGGGAGTGCTCCAGGGATCTCTGCTTGATCCTATGTTGCTTAACATTTTTATCAATGACTTGGATAGAGGTATATATATTCTCATCAGATTTGCAGATGACACTAAGTTAAGAGGAATAGCTAACATACTAAATGACAGGGTCAGGATCCAAAAAGATCATGACAAACCAGATTATTAGACTGAATCTAATAAGATAAAACTCAACAGCAATAAATATAAAGTCTAATACTTTGGTTCAAAAAATCAGCGTCATAAGTACAGAATGGAAGAAGCATTGGTTAGACAGCAATTTGTCTGAAAAAGTTCTGAGTATTTTAGTGGACTGCAAACAGCGTAATATAGCAGCCAAAAATGTGAAGTGATTTTGGGCTGAATTATGAGAGGCATGACTTCCAGGAATAAGGAGGTGAGAGTTCTTCTATCTTCTACCCTAGTAAGGCCACATATAGAATACTGTGTGCAGTTCTAGGCTCCGTAGTTTAAGGACTTTGATAGGGTAGAGAGCATTCAGAGGAGGGCAACCAACATGGTGAAAAGCCTGTCATTTGAGGACTGGTTGAAGGGACTGGGGATGTTTAACCTGGAGAAGAGAACATTGGGAGAAGAAGGGTATGATAGTTATTTTCAAGAATTGGAAGGCTGCTATGTTAAAGAGCGATTGAATTTATTCTGTTTGGCCCCACAGACAGAACCAGAAGCTATGAGTGGAAGTAGCAAAGAGGTATCTTTAGTTTTGAGATTAGGAAAAAACATCCTAATAATTAGAGTTGCCCAAATGTGGAATGATCTGTTTTGAGAGGTAGTAGTTACCCTTCATCGGGGCGGGGGGGGCAGTGTCTTCAAATAGAGGTTTGATGACCATTTGTTGTTGTTGTTCAGTCATTTCAGCAGTGTCTGACTCTTCTGGGCAAAGATACTGGAGTGGTTTGCTATTTCCTTCTCCAGCTCATTTTACAGATGAGGAAACTGAGGCAAATAGGTTTAAGGACTTGTCCAGGGTCACATAGCTAGTAAGCGTCCGAGGCCCAATTTAAACTTGGGAAGATGTGTCTTCCTGACTCCAAGCCTGGAGATCTATCCACTGTGCCACCTAGCTGCCTGACCATTTGTTGGGTATATTATATTGGGGATTCTCTTCAGGTACTATTTAGACTAGGTGGCCACCAAGGTCTCATTCAACTCTCAAATTCTGTGATTCTGTGAAGGAATCTTGTATTACTTCCATATGAATACAAAACATATTGTTGAAGTATTTAGGCAGTATTTTTGCTCTAGCATGATTCTTTATAGTCAAATGGGACCTTGTATTCCTTATACTATTCAGGCAATAGCGTGACTGTAAAGATGTGGTCTACCGTAGAATATTGTTTACAAGAACCTGACTGTTCCCTTCTGATGCCTTCATCAAGGATGCCATCATTTTCTCAGAGATTTTTGAAGAGATAGCAAAGCAACATATGAGTTGATAATAATGTACAAATTACTTGTGACAAGCAATGATTTCTATATGGTTTCATTCTGTAACAGCAATGGTCATGCGTGTGTGCTATTATGAAAGTGGGTTGACTCAGAACCTTGGTCACACGAAACCCCCCTGAGTTGATTTCTTAACTTTAGTTAGCTTTTCATCAGCAGAGTACTATAAATTTAGTGGCACACACAAGTGTGGCAGCTCTCTTTTGTCCAGTTTTTAATTCTGTGGTTTTAAAAAAAATAGATGTTAGTCCAAGGAAAAGTGGAAAAGTTACAGTTCTTGATGACTGCTAAAGATATTGCAACGGCTATTGGTGTGAAAGTCAAATATTTCAGGGATCATCCAAACTCACGACAAAATAGGATCATTTACACAGAACAAAGGAAAGTGCAGTCTAAAATGAAAAACAACACCAAGAACTAACACTATATTGTTAAAAAGAAAAAAACAATCAAACAAACTCTTAGAAAATAAAGAAAGACTTTCAGAGAGACCTGGCAATTGTAGGGGTCATTACTGAGTCATCTACTATGTGGTATAGGCCTCTTGAAGTTGGAAGAAGAGAGAAAGGAATAGTTAAAAAAAACCCAGCCACTAAACTGTTAAAAAAGAGAAAAAATGGTCACAGGCAAAACAGTACAAAGACTGGAGAATAAACATTGGGGAATGGCAATTTCTTGCTGATGAAATTCATTTTTTTATTCAAGGCTGTATTAAAACTGTTGTCAGAAGTCTTAGCCTCTAAGACTCTGCAAGATTTGGGCCTCTTCACCAAACTGTAAGCCATCTACCCCACTAAAAAAAACTTGGGAGATTTTTGACTTCTAGTGGAAGCCTTGTCCCCATTGAGACAATGATGAACTATGATAAACACATTTATATACTAAGAGAAAGAATTGTTCTGGAATTACTTGAGGCACTTGGTAGCATGGTAGCTAGAATGCTGGGTTTGGGTCAGGAAGACCTGAGTTTAAGTCTAGTCTTGGATGTTTATTAGCTGTGTGATCCTCAGCAAGTAACTTAACTTCTGTTTGCCTTGGTTTCCTCAATTGTAAAATGGGGACAATAACAGTACCTACTTCACAGGGTTGTTGTAAGGATCAAGTGAGATAATATTTGTAAAAGTACTTAATACAGTGGCTGGCTCATAGTAGGTACTACTTCCCTTTCCTTCCCTTTCTATATTTTCACGTAAATACATCAGGGACTATTAAGTTAAAATTCGAACATGTTTGCAACTTTCCCTTTAATTACCCTTTAAAAATTATCAGAGGAGAGTGTAGGGAACTCTGGATCTTATGGCTGATCTAAAATGGACTTTAACTTAAATGTTAGCAGCTTTTTGATTCTCTAAAATTTCATGGATCGGGAACAAGAGTCATAACCCAATGAACTCCCTTTTTCTTTACTGTGGTTACTCACACTGTTTTCCTTCTGACTTCCTTATGGCACTCTGTTTTAAATAACTCTTTTAATTGCTAATCTATTTATTTTAATTATGTTTCATAGACTATCAAGAGATAAGAAGACCTAGTTTTGAGTTTGTCTCTTTTTAAACAAAAAAACTAAATTACTTCACCAATTTTATAAAAGATATATTTCAGATAGCGAACAAGATTAAAGGAAAAGAGTAAGAATATTTTAGCCAGTGCTTATTAGCATGAAAATAGTGCTATCTACCTCCAGCATTAAATGGAGAACAGAGGAAAGCTAAGTAGGGAGACTGCTTGGACGTTCTCATACCATTTTAGATACTTCTAAGTTGGATCTTCACAGTGACTTTATTATTTTGTTTGTGAACTCCTCACATCAAACATACCAATATTCAAATGCAAGAACAAATATGAGTCCTAAAAGTCAAGTGTAAGTGATTTAGGAAATAAATTCCTAATTCCTAAACCCCTCCTCTGGTACAGATAGCCAAGGACTATGTATAAATGTTAATGCATTTAATTTGAGTCAATAAACATTTATTAAACACCTACAAGGTACAGTTAAATAAGATATTTTTTAAAAAAAGAAAATAAGATGAAAACCAAAGGTTATTTGGTAAGAGGAGATGAAATTCTTATTTTGATGGTATGGTTTAAGTCAGGGATTCTTAACCTTTCTTGTGTCCTAGACCCCTTTGTCAGTCCAGGGAAGCCTGTGGACCCCTTCTCCAAATAATATTTTGAAATGCATGAAATATACTACATTGGATTATTGGGAAATTAATAATATTGAAGTACAGTTATCAAAACATTAGGAAAAAAAAACCAACAAGTTCATGGAATCCAAGCTAAGAACACTTGGTTTAGGTGAACCATAAGCACTGAGTATTGGGATGATTCTATTAGCAATGAGTTTGGTGAAGTACTACTAAATGACTCTGAGGTTAATAGAAATGGTTATCTATTAAATTATGTATCTGAAATGTAAAGATGGAATTGTCTAAAAATGGCCACCACGCTGTTAGAGTTTTTAACATCCTATCATCCATTAAATGCAAAGCATCTAAAAACCAACATGATAACCATTGTTAAAATTATGGTATTTTACCTAGATCATTATTCTTTGTGATAGCAGCTGCTACCCTGGTTCTTGGCCCTTGCTTTGTAAACTGGTATCCAAACTTGAGAATCATTGAGTTCTCCTCAAGCATCTGGGCAATTTCCATTTCTACAGCTGTTCCCAACTGCTGTCTCTGGTTTGTGAAGAGACATATACAAACATACATACAAACACAGAGAAGACATACCAAGAAAGAAGGGGAAACATTTACTTTCATACAATATAATTCAAATAACTAAGAAGCATAATGAAAAAAAGAGTAGGTATATTGTGGCTTTAAAAGAATAAAAAAAAAAACCTGGTCAATTTGTAGCAGTCTACCCAACTGCAGAAGACTCTACTTTAGACAATGTCATCAGAGTTATCCTCATACATAGAAAGTTTAAAAGTGAAGATCAGTTAACATATGCCTGCCACCTGACCTCCTAACCTTTCCAGATTGAAGAAACTGGGCAAATCATTTATGAAAAAGGAAAAAGAGAAATGGGGAGAAAATTAAAACCTAGGCTAATATTTAGCGCTTCTTGTATTCTACTGAATGTTTGTAAGGAAGAGAGCATGATGTAATGGAAGGAGCCTTGGAGACAGGAGACCCTCTGAGATCTAATGCTTGCTTTGGCACCAAACTAATTATGTGACCTTAAGCAAATTGCTTCACCTTTTGGTAGAATGATGAAGCTGGACCAAATGTTCACTAAAATATTTCTGTTTTAACACAGATAAATAATCAAATAGAGTTTTCAAAAATTAAATGACTTTATATTAACTAAAATAATTGTTGAATGTGTCTCCTAGGGGTGCAAACTGGAAAAAAATCAATAATATTAAACTCCACCAATTGGTCAGTTTGACCTCTTCCTAAAGCACAAGTCTGACCATGTCACCCCTAGACTCAGAAATGTTCAGAGGTCCCCTGCTGCCTCAAGAGAAAAACATGAACATCTCTACTTGGCATTTAAACTCCTTGATGATCTAGCTTCGGCCTACCTTTTCATGCTTATTGAATACTCTTCATTTTCACATACTCTACATTCCATCCAGATTGGCCTACTTTCCCCAGATTCAGCATTACAACTTCCACTTCTGTGGCTTTATACAGGGCATCTTCCATGCCTAGAAATGTACTGTCCTCTTTCCTTTGTCTTCTGGAAGCCCTAGCTTTCCTTAAGGTCCAATTCAGGTAATAATAATAATATCAATTTCTCATGTAATCAGCTTCTGATAATAATAACAACAATAATAGCATTTACATGGCATGTTAAAATTTGCAAAGTGTTTTACAAATATCATCTCGTTTTTATCCTCATGACAACCTTGGAAATTAGAGGCTGTTATTATTATTCTCATTTTACAGATGAGGAAACTGAGGCAGACAGGTAAAGTGACTTGCCCCCGGTCACATAACTAGCTAGTATCTGAGGGACAGATTTGAATTCATGCATCACTGACTCCAGTCCAACACTCCAAGCTGCCCACTGATTCTCCTTTATAGTTATTGATCTTTCCCTCGAATGATTTTGTATTTTTCTAGCTATTTACATGTTGTATTTCCTAGTACAATGAAAGCTTCTTGAAGGCAGTGATTAGTTTTCATTTTGTCTTTGTAGGCCCAGGACTACTCTGTGTCTTGCACAGTAGGTGTTTAATAAAGGCATTTGGTTTGGATAATACATAAACTGAAGGTCACAATTGTAATCCGATTATTTTCTGATTGCTTGTCACAATTAGTTGCAAGTCCAAATGAATTACCTAATTGGACATCACAATAATTCCTCAACTTTTAAAAAAAATTGTAAGCATTTTTGGATTAAATTAAGGGGAAACATTTTTAATATCGTGGCACAAAGTACTTAGTGATGAATTAGAGAGAAGAAATAAAAAATAGGAATTTTTTGAAAATTGAAAGGTAATATAAGGGACTTTTTGAAAACTGTGAAACAAATAATGAAGGGCCCACCTAGAGGTCAGGGTTTGTGTGTGTGCGTGTGTGTGTGTGTGCGCGCGCGCGTGTGTGTGTTACAGACATTACAACTGCATTCCTCTCCTCTTCTCTCCTCTAGCAGAAGCTAAGAGTTACTCCATCTGTTTGAATTTATATGTTGTTGTTTTCCCAACGTTTCTAGAAAGAGCTCTAGAAGCAATTTTTTGAAAACACCACAAGATGGGGATATAACTCTATGAAAAATGACTACTCACTAAAAATGAAAAGACCTTCACAGCTTTCTAGATCTGTAGTTTAATTTTTTTTTTTCTGGTTTGAAAAGGTTGTGCACCCTCTCCCTCTCCACCCCCACCCCAAGGTCTCTACGTATCCACCTTCCCTTTGTAGTATAAACACTTTCTTACCAACTTTTTTCAAAGCTTTATTTGCTCATATTTTTTAATAATTTCCTCAATTATAAAATAAGGCTAATAACACTTACCTCTCCGGGTTGTTGTGAAGATCAAATAAGATCATATTTGTAAAGTGTTTAGTTAAATCAATCAATGTGTGTTTCCTTTTTAAAAAATCATCTTCTAGTCTAATACTCTTATTTCGCAGGTGAAGAAATTGAGACTTTGAAATGGGCAAGGACTTGTCCAAGGGTCATATAAGTAGGGATTCCAATCCAGGTCCTCTGATTCCAAAGTAGAGCTATTCCCACTTTATTACACTGTATGTTTGCCTGATCTGTTATATGCTCCCTTGAATTTTCTATTTGTCACAAGTGATTCCTGATGGAATTATAATTAGCAGAGCTTTCCTGACAACCTCTCATGTGTCTGGTGCCTTGTCTGTAAAGGGTTCTTGGTCACCACCCAGTGGATTCTCAGTAGGCATGCACTCTGGTACTTTTGTCTGTTACTTACCATGCTATATTAGTTTTAGCTCCCAATTATGCCTTTGGAACAAAGTTCTAACACAGTACAAGCTCTAATTATGGATTTCTGCATCCTACTGACTTTAGCTCTTTAGCTAAACCGACAATGAATGTCCTTTCCCTCTTCTTGTCATAAGGGGAGAGAAGTACAACAGGGAAGTCAAATATAAGATTTTGGTAAATCCATTCCAGGGTGACTTAAGGTGAACTATGAGGTGAATGACTTGAGAGGGATTTCAAGTGGCAAGTGTGGGCTGCATGTTCATATTTTCAAAGACCAAAACTAGTTGAAATTTCTGAGGGTCCAGATTATTAGGTAGATTTTAAGAAGATGGAATGTCTAAAAATGGGAATTTGGGGATACGGATTCTAGAATGGGGTTTTGAAATTACCTAAGCCATCTCACATGCAAAAATGTAAATACACTTTGAAATAAGCAGGTCTTGGGTCTCTCAGCAATATTTCTGTAGGGTTTTGAAAAAACCTCTCCCTGAACTTTTCATTACTTCATAATTGTTCTCAACTTGTCCCATTTAAATATTCCACCACTCTACCTGTTCCTTACCCTCCTTTCTTGGTTCTCTTAATAGCCCCTATCCTTCCACCTTTGTCCCAGGTACTCAGCAACAGACAAAACATGGTGATGTGTGGGCTAGTGCAGCTTAGCTTACCAGACTGAAGCTAAGAAATTGGTTCTATGGCCATTCCAGGGAATTAAATTAGAATTGGGCTAGGAGGTGAGGGGGCCCAATTTCAGTTCTAGAGATGTACAGGTACACAAGAAGGACGATTCTGCTTTGCATATCCTCTTTCCATCTCTTCCTACACCTTGACTGAACTCCAAACAGTTCAGGAGGAAGCTTAAGGAATAAAGAAGTTTGAACTGCTGTCCAAGACTATCCTGAACTGGATCAGAAAACTGAGGAATGCTACAGAACTGCAAACATCCCTCCCCTTCTCCTCACCCCATACCCTTGGACCTAGTTGGGGCAGGAGACAGATCCAGCACAAGATATTCAGGAGACTTCCAGATTAGACCTTCAGTTCTAGTACATGGAGCTAACAAGATGGCACCCCCTTGTCTCTAGCAGATTTCTCCCTCTATCATTCCTCCTCTCTCACTAATCTCTATTCCCCTTTTGCCTCTTGGCTGCTTCCCTGCTGCCTACAAACATACCCATTTCTCTCTCATCCTTTAAAAAATCCTTATTTGATCTGTCCATCCCTGCTAGATATCATTTTATATATGTCCTCCCTTTTGTGGCTAAACTCCTTAATAAGACCATCTGTAATTGACGCCTCCATTTCTCCTCTCACTCTCTTCTCAACTTTCTGCAGTCTGGCTTCCAATTTCTGAATTCAATTGAAATTGTTCCCTTCAAAGTTACCAGTGGTCTCTTAATTGCTAAATCTAATGGACTTTTCTCAGTCTTCATCCTTCTTCACCTCTCTGCAGCCTTTGACACTGTTGATCACCCTCTTCTCTCTTGGCTTTCCTCTTACCTGTTTGACTACTCCTCAGTCTCCTTTGTTGGATCTTCATCTAGGTCATGCCTGCTAATGATAGGTATTCACTAAAGCTCTGTTCTGAGCCTTTTTCTCTTTTTCTCCTATACTAACTTGCTTGATAATCTCATCAGTTCTCCCTTCCCTCTTTGGTACTCTCTTCTCTCTAGGGTTTTGGGATATCACTCTCTCCTGGTTCTCCCATTTATCTGACAACTTCTAAGTTTCCTGTGCTATAACTTCATCTAAAACACTCCCTCTAACTATAGGGGTCCCACAGGGTTCTGTTCTGGGTCCCCTTCTCTTCTGCTTCTATACTACTTCATCTGGTAATCTCATCACTCTCATGGATTCAATTACCATCTTTATGATGATGATTCTCAAATCTACCTTTCTTTTCCCAATCTCTCTACTGACCTCCAATCTCACATCTCCAATAGCTTTTCAGATATTTTGAATTAGATGTCCACTAGATATCTTAAATGCAACATATCCAAAACAGAACTCATTATTTTCCCCCCTAAATCCTCCTTGCCTCCTAATTTCCCTATTACTGTAAAGGGCAACAACATCCTCTGGATTCCTCAGGCTCTTAAAACCTAGGAATTATCCTCAACTCCTCACTATCTCTCACCCCTTCCATATCTAATCTATTGCCTTAGCCTATTGATTTTACCTTTGCAAAATCTCTCATATATACCCCCTTCTTTTCTCTGAGGCTACTACCACCCTGGGGCAGGCCCTCACCCCCTCACACCTGGATAATTACATTAGCCTGCTGGTGAGTATGCCTGCCTCAAGTCTCTCCCACTCTAATCTATCCTCCATTCAGCCACCAAAATTTTCCTGACTTCGCTTGCATGTCATCCCCCCTCCCCCAAATAAATTTTAATGGCTCTCTATTACCCCCAGGATTAAATGCAAAATCCTTTGTCATCATTCAAAGCCCTTTATAACCTAGCACCCTCTAACCTTTCTAGTATTCTTACACTTTACTCTCTGACATGTGCTCTTCAATCCAGTGACACTAGCCTCTTGACTGTTTCTCGAAAAAAATACTCTAACTCTCATCTCTACTTTTTCTGGCTGTCCCCCATATTTGAAATGCTCTTCCTCCTCATCTCCACCTATTGGCTTCCCTGGCTTCCTTCAAAGTTTCAACAAAAATTTAATCTCCTAAAGAAGCTTTTCCCAATCCCCCCCTTTTTTTCTGGTGTACTTTTTTTCTTTATTTTTTTAAAAAAATTAATCCCAATCCCTCTTAATCCTAGTGCCTTCTTTCTGTTAATTATTTCCTATTTCTCCTGGAAATAGTCTGTCTGAACATATTTATTTGCTTATTGTCTCCCCCATCAGATTGTGAGCAGGGATTGTGTTTTGCCTCTTTTTGTATCCCTAGCACTTAAATGTTCATTGATTGACTGAATTTAGGGTAGGGACCTTTATGGCTGTTGTGACCCTGCCTGAACATCCTCTCTTCCTCAAGAAGCAGCAGGCGGCTGATTATAGCCAGCAGTATGAAGGAAAGGAGAAGAATAGGTGGAGGATTGGTTGGGAGTCAGCCTGGGTGACTGCACCCTAGAACGTGGTCTATCCATGTTGGATATGTTGGCAATATTTTACACGAAGAAGAAGAAGTATTTTTTAAAATGGTATCGGAGTTCCTGGGTGTGGCAGTTTTCTTTCCCTTTCTTGACAAGGATAGAACTGAAGGGACAGGGGGAAAGTCAGGGATGAACCTGGGCTGGGCTAGGTCTGGGGCCCTGCCGTCAGGACAAAATGATAATAGTGTATCAGCATTGTTTGCCTTGTCTCCTCAAATGCTTCCCTAATGCTAGACTAGTGAGTTTTCTCTCCCCACAGCATGAATGTGCTTTGGGCCACAACTCCCTCATTCTCTGCATAGCAGAAGCAGTTGCAATGTACAAAGAGATGCTTGAGCTTACCTGGTTGTCTATCTTGATCTCTGTCAGGGTTTCATTTTCTTTCAGGGCGTCCACCAGTGCCAGAATCCCAGTTCCAGTGATAAAGTTGGACTCAATATTTAGACTTTTCAGTGTCTTGTTTACTTTTAACATGTCTGCGAAAGCCTGAACATGCAGGGAAGAAGACTCCATGAGCATTTCTGAAGGTTTCTGTGTAGAAGCACTCAGCGTACTGAACAGGAACATTTGGTAACCACTTAATCAAGAAAAAATCTGGGTCCTAATAACCTATTCCCCAAGTAGGATGCTATATAAGTTCTCCAGGGCCTCAAGTAGTCTGGAAATGAGAGCTTCTTTACAGCAAGGAAAATCAATTCTAAAGACTCTTTAGAGCTACCTACCTCTATCTCCCCTGCCACTCCTTTCCACTTTCTTTTCTGTCTTGTCTCTATTAGAATAAAATCTCTTTGAGGACAGGGACTGTCTTTCTGTTTGTATCTGTATCCCTAGTGCTTAGCTCAGTACCTGGCACATAACAAGCATTTAATAAATGCTTGTTAACTGATTTATTTATGGAACTTAGTGCCCATGCTCAGCAAAACTTCCTTATGATTTGCCTAAATGATTTCTCCTAAGGTGCTTAAAAATTCTGGTTATTTGATGTCTCCTGGTAGTTGAAATCCAGGCAAATGTTTTTTCCCCCATAAAATCATAACCATGTGTGTTTCCTTACTGTGCAGAGGATCCCTTACCTATATTAAGAATAGGGGGCAGCTAAGTGGCACAGTATAGAGCACCAGACCCTGAAATTATGAGGACCTGAGGTCAAATCCGACCTCAGACACTTAATAGCTGTGTGATCCTGGGCAAGTTATTTAACCCCAATTGCCTCCCCCCCCAAAAAACCCAAAACAATAATATAGAATACACAATATGAAAAAAGATGTTATATAGGTTGTCCCAAAAGTCTTAGTGCAGTTATAAGGAGTACCTGCTTAAAACTTTTACTCTGAGACTCTCGGGATACCTTGAATTTGTTTCTAATGAGTTGGGTTTTTCAAGTTACATTTTTAAGAATGTTACTTACAATTGCAACAGGGTCATTGCTGCGGGTGGCAGCCAGGCTGAACTTTTTCACATGAATGTTGGTCTCCAGAGCCTTTGCAAACTCCCTCAGGGTTGGAATTGGAATATTCTATGATAGGAGGATATTTAAGGCCGTTAGACAGGCATCTTGAATTACAGACTCCTGACTTACAAAAGGTCCCATTCATCTAAAGGGATCATTTTCAACAGTCCATTCGTCCTCTATTACTCTTCATTCTGGATAAGGACCAAGTTTTAGCTCGGACAGACCGTACCAACTCTTTGACCTTTTGATGCCTCCTTTCTATCCTGTGTCACTTAAATATACCTTATCACTTCCTTTCTCCTCATTTAAGGGGTTCCTACACCTTCCACTTCCACTGTTTATAGTCCAGATAATTATAGAATTACTGAATTTTTGTGTTGGGAAGAACCCTAGTGGCCATCCAGTTCAATCCATTCCCCCCCAAAAAAAAGTTCCTCTAAAACAATACCCAATAAATGGGCATCTAGCCTTCCTCCACTATGGAGGAACCCACTCTGTCTTTGAACAGTTCTAATTGTTAGGGAGTTTTTCCTTACAACATGCTTAAATTTGTTTATTTATAACTTCCACAAACTGTTCTTATTTCTGTTTTCTGCTGTCAGGTAGAACAGACCTCATCCCCTTCTCCATGGAAGAGTCCTTCAAATACTTAAAAGCAGCTAGAATTATCCTCCTGAATCTTTTCTTCTTCAGGCTATATATCCCAATTCCCTTACTCAACCCAGGAAGGAAGCAGGACTAACTGAATACCAAACTCAAGGAGAGCTATAAAATTGGGAGCTCAAACGGCATCCTAGTTGCCCATTTCTGGACATACTCCAGCTTATCATTATCTAGGTATTAAACCATGGTGGCCAGAAATATAGAACTCTGGATTCAGTTTTCCCAGGATTAGAGTATGGTAGTAGTATCACCTCCTCATTCCTGGAAGTTAGATGTTTTCTTAATGAAGCTTAAGATGGCATACTACCCTCCCAGAGGACTATCTGTTACAAGCATATTTTCTTTAATTCCTTCTTTCCTTGCTTCCCAATCTTGCCTATTTATCTCAAGGAAAAATCTCTCTCCTTCCACCTCCATTTTCTCTTTTTTCCTTGTCTTCATTCCATTTGTGATGCCCCAAATGATCTTAAACCATGTCTACAAATGTAGCATAGATTTATTAAGTGCCCATACCCACTGTGTATAAAGTACTGTGATAGGTGCTGGGGTTCAATGAAAACCTTAAGGGTGGTGCTAATGATACATCTATATTAAAGAAAAGGGAAGCTATAAATTTTTCCACAACATTAAGCATTATAAAGAACCAGTACCATCAACCTCTAAAATCCTCGTAATTGCCCTTTTAGAAGAGCCACAAAAATTTTCTGCTTCATCTTCCTATAATTAAGCCTATTTTTCCTCAGGTATTAGCTTTTAAGACAAATAAAACACTAAAATTTACTGTTTTTCTGTTTTCTCCAATTAGTTCAATTACTAATACTTTGACAATATTGTCCCCTAATACTTTTCATTGCCAATGTTTTGTATTTTATCTACATTATGAATTAAATTGTCCTTTATGAGATGGTGTGGGATATTAATAAACCATAATAGCATTATTTCTACAGAGTTATGTATTCTCATTCCAAATGATCAAATAATGCACAAACTTTTGGAAAATAATCCATCTACAAGCTGGGGACTGCACAGTGACTGGAATATATTAGATGCTTAATAGTTGTTGATTAATTTTCTCACTATTAAATATTTGTATTGATAACTATATTTCCAGCTTCCATTCATTTAAAGTTTCACAGCGCTAGTCTCTTACTTGCTCTCAAGATGTCAAAACCCCATCATTCCGATAGATGCACTTCCGAGTTTCATTACCTAGAATGAAGGGGACCCCCACAATTGTCTAGATAGAAATATAGGTTGGGTTTTTTTTTCCATTTGTGGAATCAGGAAAAATTTGACCAAACTCTCTTAAAAACAATGTGTTTTATTGGAACACAATGATAATAAATGAAGATTGCAGGATCATAAATTTAGAGCTGGAAAGGCCTTTGAGCCCAATTCTCTCATTTTACAGATAATGAAACTGAAGCCCAGTGAGGTTAAACAATTAGTACAAGGTCCCACAGACTCTGCAGAAATGGGATTTGAATCTCAATTTTTGAAGAGATTGGATAAGAGAGCCACTGAGGTCCTTTTCAGCTCTGCATCTAGAATCATCTATCATCCTTTAAGTCCAAATCCATTACACTTTCCACTGTACCACACTGTGGTTTGTCAGGAAAATTGTTTTGATTATTAATACCATCATATGCATCTATAGCCCTGCTAGGGCACTGGGGAGTATCGCCTTCAATTATTTGTGCTTTTATTTATCTCGTAACTATTTCTTTGCCCTCTTTAACACAAAAATCTTACATTCAGCCACCATTTGCCTCTCAAACAAGCTTTGGGCCAAATGTGGGAACCTGTTTTGCTTGACTATGCATGTTTTTTTTTGTTGTTGTTGTTTTGTGCTGAGGCAATCGGGGTTAAGTGACTTGCCCAGAGTCACACAGCTAGTAATATCAAGTGTCTGAGTCTGAATTTGAACTCAGGTCCTCCTGATTCCAAGGCCAGCTCTCTACCCACTGCGCCACCTAGCTGCCCCAAGTATGCATGTTTTTAACAAAGGATTTTGTTTTTCTTGCTTTCTCAGTAGGGGGGAGGGAAATAGAAGAGAAGAGAAGGTGCATTTTCATTTGAAAACAATTTTAATTAAAAAAAATTAAGCTTTTGGCCATAGAAAAAGTGTAAGTGGGAGGAACCAACACCAAAGCTACACTTATTAGTGTAGAAGTGACCCTATAACTTGACAGACTAAGCTCTGATTGGCCTTACCATACTGGAAAAGCTCTATGCATAGGGCTGAAGGTAGACTGACTGTGTATTTGATGTCTGGGAACTAGCCTAGTGAAATGTAGAAAGATTCATTACCAGAAAGTTGGTCACCAGGTGATTAATTTTTCAGACACTCATGAGATATTAAGGAGCTTTGATCTACATTGATGGAGGAAATACCCTCACCAATTAAATTATGGAGTTTTTTGAGAGTAGTAAAAAAACATGGAAGACAGAGATAGATATATCCAAATGAGGCTCTTTTGAGTACAAAATTTCTGCATATGACCATGATATCACATATTTTATTCAGTGGGCATTCCTTGGACAAGCTTCTTTTAGAATCAGAATAGAGGAATCTGAGAGAAAAAGATGACACAGTGAGTCACTGTCCTAGTGTACTTATGCATGGACCAATAAATTTTCAAGAATAAGAATGGTAAATTTTGTGAAGTCACACCAACCAACTTTGTACAGAAGAGGAGAACAGGCCAATAGAAGAGTAAGCTAGTTGCAAAAAGTGTGAAGCTTGATGAAAGACAGGAACCATTAGTTAATGGCTTCCCTCAGTGATAATGCAGCTACTGTAAAATGGGAGGTCATAATGGATAGCTATGTTATTATGGTAGTACTGGCATCCCATGACATGAAGGTCCACTTCTGAATTATGTCTATGATCTTTCCCTCGAAGAGCATCCACTCTCCTTGTATCAGTACGGCAAAATCCATCAGATGCTGATCAATTGCTATAGACTCCCCCAACCCAAGGCTACATCCAAAGCACAGGAAGTATTCCAATAAGCTTAAGCAAAAATGCCAAACTTCAATTCAATTTAACAAGCCTTTATTAAGTACTTACTACTTGCAAGGCACTGTGCTAGGTGCTGGGGGTACAAAAGCAAAAATGAAGTAGCTCCTGCCCTCAAGGAGCTTACATTCTATTGGAGGAGACAAAGTGTGTAAAGATAATTAAATACAAATATTTACCAAATCATACAAAGTAATTTCAAGAAGAAGAAAGTCTCCAAACTAGAGACAACAGGAAAAGCCTTGTAGAAGATGGCACACCACTTGAGTCAGAACACATTCCCACTCACATAGTCTCACATTCACATAGAGCTCACAGGGTAAGTTCAGGCTGTACTCTACGTAGACTATCGCAATGGTTTAATTGTTCTCCTTCCCTTAAGTCTCTCCCCTTTCCAATCTGTCCTCCACCCAGCTGCCAAATTAATATTTCTTTCTGGTATATGATGTAAGATGTTGGTCTATGCCTAGTTTCTGCCATACTATTTTCCAGTTTTCCCAGCAAATTTTTTGTTAAATAGTGAGTTCTTATCCCAGAAGCTGGAGTCTTTGGGTTTATCAAACAGTTGATTACTATAGTCATTTTCTACTGTATCTTATGTGCCTAACTTATTCCACTGATCTACTACTCTGTTTCTTAGACAGTACTAAGTAGTTTTGATGACAAATTAATATTTCTAAAGCACATGTCATTCTGCTCTTTAAAAAGCTCTACCCAAGAGTTTTTAACCTCTTTTGTGTCATCAACCCTGGAAAAGCCTATGAACCCCTTCTCAGAATAATACTTTTAAATGTGTAAAATTAAAAAGGAAAATAATTATATTAAACAGTTACAATTTTTTTAAAATTAGGTTCATGGACCCCAGGTTAAGAACCCATTACAGAGGTTTTCTTTTGTCTTTGAGATAAAATACAGACTCCTCCATTTAGCATTTAAAGATCTTTACAATTTAGATCTTTACAGTCTGGTTAGACTTTCAAAAATTCTAAGTTCAGTCAAACTAGTGTATTTGCTATTACTTCTATAGGACATTCCATCTGCTATTTCTATGTCTTTGGGATACAGGTAGTCTCCTGTGCCTGGAATGCATTTCCTCCTAACCTCTGCCTCTTGGAATTTTGGCTTCCTTTAAGGGGCAGTTCAAGGGCCACTCACCTCGGACATCAGGTTGATTTTATTCCCCCAGGTGGAAAGCACCCTCACCTTTTCTCTTCCTGAAATAAGTTTAAATTTACTTTGGCATATTTTGAGTTTATAATAATAGTGTTTACAGAGTACCTTAATGTTTGAAAAGTATATTGAAAACTATGTATCCTGACAGCAATTCTGGGAGGTAGGGGCTATTATTATCATCCCCATTTTATAGATGAGGAAACTGAGGCAGAGAGCAGTTAAGTGACTTGCCCAGGGTCATACAACTAGTAAATGTCTGGGACAGAATCTGGACTCAGGTCTCCCTGAGTCCAAATCCAGGGCTCTATTCACCAACATGCTTATGATTTCCTGGCATAGTGGCTAGCCTGCTAGTCTCTGACACGTTGGCTGTGTGACCCTGCGGAAGTCATTTAATTTGTGTCCCAGACAGCTGTCTAAAAGTATAAATTACAGAAGTTACCCATCTGCATTGATGAAGGGAGTTTCCTTATAGGGAGTTATTTACACCAAAGAAATTAAATGTTCAGACTAAAAAAATATAGATTTGTTTTTTACTGAAGTCTGTAAAAATGTCACTTCCCCACAATAGAATGCATGCTTATTGAGGGTAGGGGCTCTTTCACTTTTGTCTGGGTATCTCCAGAGTCTACAAGCATTATCCCAGGCACATAGGTGTTGTTTAACAAATGTTTATCAATTGAATCAGAAACACACGTCTAATATATTCATTTGTTACACTTGACCACGTTTATCTGTTGGTGAAAGGGAGTTGATGGGAAGTGACAATGGATTTTAATGGAGAAAATAAAACATTTTTTTTTAAAGTAACTGAATGAGGAAGAGTCAAGCGTCAAGGATGATTCTAAGGCTAAAAAGTAGTTGCTTCCTGGAAGGACAGCAGTATAGAGCAGTGGGAAGAACACTGGCCTGGAAATCAGGAGACTCTGAGTTCAAATCTCACTTCTGCTAGTTATTTATGTCCCCCTGGGAAAGTCATTTAACCTCACTGGGCCTTGGTTTCTTCATCTGTAAAATGCGGGAATTGAACTAGGTGGTTTCTGAGGTCCCGTCCAGCCCTGGTTCTAACATCCTTATGGTGGCAGCCTCAACAAAAGCAGGAAAATTCAGAGGAGATGGGTTTTGGGGAAAATAAATTCAGTTCCACACGGACTTGTTAAGTGTTAGACGTCTATGGAACATCCTGTTAGAATTATAAGTCAGGTAGTTTAAAATGCAGGATTAGAGAGTGGGAGAGTAATTAGGACTGTATATATTGATTTGGCAGTCATCTGTATAAGACACTCCTATACCCCAATTCTATCAGTTAAAATCCTTCCCTTCCTTCAGGGCTCAAGGCATCCTTTGGATTTGGGGTAAGAGGGATAGATAATCACCTCTGGTTCAGAGTACAATGCTTGAACTCTTCCTGGTCCAAACCTAAAACCCTGGGATTTGACTATCTCTAAGTTGGCCTCCCAAAGAGGAAGGACTGGCTCACTATTGTTAATGGGAACACTCACACTGGCATACTTTGTGCTCTACTGGATTATGTTCTCTCTCTCACTCGGTGGAGATGTTTAGCTTCCCTGGGGTCTAACTCTCATGTGAAGCTGAATAACTTAGGCTAAGAACGGAGTCACCATCTGGATAAACACATATTTTAAGTTCCTTCTGTTTTAAACTCAAGAACTGAGACTTCTTTCAAGGAACAGTGGGGACCACGTCCTCCTTTTCTTCATTTTAGCAGCACATCTCACAGCACAGGGAAAATAAGAGACATTCTGAATAAGTGTAAATTGATAAGCAAGCAGGTAACCGGTAATCTCCAGTACATTTCCAGCCCTTACTGATGCAATCAAGTGACTGCTACTGTAATTAAATACCTTAATGTTGTTGAGGTTGACTTCCTGAAGACTGGGATCATTGGCTTTCAGCTGCTGCAAACTTGCTTCCACATTTGTGGGATTGGGTGGTTCCTCAAATATTGGCTTGACCTTTTCACCTTTGACCACATCTAAAACACAAATTAATATAGTTGTAGAATTCAAGTTCTATTCAATCATGTGTGATAGAATAATTCTCAGTCAAAGATGGTTTCCCAAGAGTCATTTCTATCACGGATTTCAGATACCATGGAATCTAATATAAAAAGAATCAGCTTTATTGGACAAGCAAGTGAATTATATGGCTTTACTAATGATTAATAATTCTGCCTGGTGCTTATAACTTGGTGTTTCTCAGCTTCAATAGTTATGTTCAGGACTCAGGTACAGGAAGTGACTAGGTTCCTGGGCCCATCACTAAAATAACCACATCAGAACTGCTCAGAAATATTTATGACTGACTGCTTATATGGAACCAAATGTGCAGATGGCCATCTGGCATAGTACCTTCCCAAAACAGCACTTCCATATGATAACTGACATATTACCATATAGGGATATAGCAAACAGATAGATGTATATGCACGTGCACATATGCACATACACGTAACAGTATACCTAAGAATATACACACATGTATATACACATGTGGTTTATGTGTTTATATGTGTACACATACACATATACTAGATAATATGAGTATGTATGTATGCGTACACACACATACGTGCAGTTGATCCTCAACTTTCATGGGGGTGATGTTCCTAGAAAATGGTACAAAAGTAAAAACTGCGAATGTTGATACATTGAACCTATGGGAAATAGGAGGTTAGGTTCCTACGACCATCAAAAACTGTAATCTTTTGTTAAAGATTGCTGAAAATACACTTTTCTGCATATAATTCTTTATAATAAACATTAATTCTGATAATATGCAATTTTCCTAACACAGTATCTATGAAATAACCCATAAAACATAGTACACAAAATAAAGTTGGTAACATGCAAAACAGTTTTCCTTATATTTCCCTAGAATTCTGTGACCTTTTGTGCTAACATATCAATAAAAAAGCCCAAAAACATTTGTTTCAGACAATATTCACTTTTCATGACACCTGAAACCTAAGGTACCATAAATATTGCACAGCAAATAAAATTCTTAAAACTAAAACACTTTTTAATCTGAGTCTTACCTTCTACTGTGTCAGATGGCAGTGTGAGGGCATTGTACTGTATACTATACTGCTATAAACCTCTCTATCCTGGCTGTGTTTTGAAAATCAAGGGAGAGGTTGCTGAGACTTTAGATGCTGCTGTTGGAAGATGCCAAGACTGACAAGGTCTCGACACCACCTCTAGCCCTCTGTCCTTCACGGCTGGTGGATGGCATTTGGAGATTGTGAATGACACACCAGCTTGAAAAATTACGCCAGCAATGTCTACTTTGTGCACTGTTAGAGATCTTTAAAGGGTCTCAGAGTATGGAAGCATAGAAGAGGGGAGTCGATATTTAACCTTGAAGCTGCGATTGATGATGGGATCGGCAGTCTCAGTGTCTCTTGGCAGCCAGGCAATTACGCCAAGCTGCTCTTTAGGGTTGGAACTGTGAGTGGCACCATCATTTTTCTCTCTATGGTATATAACTGCGAGTGTGCACAGCTGCCGACACGAAAGTGAAAATGAAGTTACTAATAAAATCATGTGAATGCTTGAAGTTGTGAAAGTTAAACGTGCAAATGTTGAGGATTGAATATAATTGCATATACATAAACACAACCTTACAAATGGCATTCACTTTTATTCATGGCTGGTAACAGAAAAAGAAGTGTTATTTATTCTGCTCACTGCTCAAACTTTCAATTCCCTCCTCCTTTTCTTTGGCTCCTGTCTGAAGCTCTGGGACACAATGGTAAGAGAAATGATAACTAGGAGGGGAAAATTGGAAGAGTCCTAGGATTTGAAGTGTTTTTATCACTTCAGGAATGTGGGTATAGATGAATAAACCCCAAAAGAAACCCAATGTTGGTAGGGGTAAAAATGAAAAAAAAATATGTATATATACATATATATATGAGAGACATGGAGATAATTCACTGTGTCATAGGGCATTTTTATTTCTTGATTTGCTCATGTACCTGGCAATGGCTTATAAGCTAAACTTGAACACCCATGGGCCTACTGCTTTCCTAAACCAAGCTAGAGTATCTACTTTCCTTGTACCAGTATGGCAAAATTCACTGGGTGCTGATCAGTGGCTATGGATTCCCCGTTCCAAAGCATATGCCAAACTTCTCGCTATGGAAGCAAAAGGGTCATGGAAAGGTTGAAATGAGGCCTCCTCATTCATGCTTGGGGATTAGTATAGCCCAGTTGGCTGAAATGTAAAAGAATATGACATCCTAGCTTTCCATATAACTTCCAAGGTTTTCCACTCCTTTATGAAGAAAGAATAGCACATTTCTCTGGTTAATTTCCAAACATCCAGATGAATTTTTATTTTGAATGTTTGAAGAGTTTGTGTTCTTTCTCCATTTCTCTTTCCTCCTCTATTCCCTGGCCCTGACCCTGTCTTCAAATATGTCATCTATGAGAATATGAGAAAAGAGGGGTTTTTTCATTGATTATAATATGTATTTTAAATAGGAAATAATCAGATTACTTTTTAAAGCACAGAAACTAAAATTGAAAGGAGAAAGTTATGCTTACTTTCTGCAAACTATGGTTTACTATCCCGTTAGCCTGTCAAACTTTAAATTTTCTTCCTATATCACTCAAATTGTTCATACTTTACCCATAAGATATACTCTAAGGATTTTATTTTTAATGGGCAAATGCTGACAGTATGATTTACCTAAATATTTGGTATGTTCCTAGTTGGTCACACAAAGCAGTCTCAGCTTAAAAAATAACTTTTGTGTTTAAGCATTTGCATAAGTGCTAGTACTTCAAATCCAATTTAAAATTCAGAAGTTAGAAATAAAGAAGGGGGCAGCTAGGTGGTGCAGTGGATAGAGCACCGGCTCTGAAGTCAGGAGGACCTGAGTTCAAATCGGGCCTCAGATCAAATACTTGACACATACTAGCTGTGTGACCTTGGGCAAGTCACTTAACCCCAATTGCCTCACTAAAAAACAAAAACAAAAAGAAATAAAGAGGACCAATGAATCTAATTAACCTAACAAGGGGCCAGAAAACTAAAATTTTCAAATAAAGACTGTAGATTTCAGCTATAAATTTGCAATAGCAAAATTTTTTTTAAAAACCAAAAAAAACCTAAATTTATTATTTGCATTTTTTTAAATTACTTGATTATAATAAATCTTATTTATAGTACTTGACGTAATAAAGTTTACTTTCAGTTTAATAACAATAATTATATAGTGCCTTAAGGTTTGCAAATTATTTTACAAATATTATCTCATTTGATCCTCACAACAACCCAGAGAGGTAGGTGCTATTATTATTCCCATTTTACATTTGAGGAAACTGAGGCAGACAAAGGTTAAGTGACTTGCCCAAGGTCATCCAGCTAGTAAGCAACTGCTACAAATTTGAACTCAAATCTCCCAGACTATGGGGCAGCTAGGTGGCACAGTGGATACAGTAGTTAGGAAGACCTGAGTTCAAATCCAGTCTTAAACACTTACTAGCTGTCTGACCCTAAGCAAGTCGCTTAACCCTGTTTGTCTCAGTTTCCTTATATGTAAAATGAGCTGGAGAAGGAAATGACAAACCATTCCAGTATCATAGCCAAGAAAATCCTAGATGGGGTCACTCTTCTCAGGAAAAGTCGGACACGGCTGAAAAACAACTAAACAAACTTCTAGATTGCAAGTACTGCACTGTGCCACTAGCTTTAAAAAAGACATAGAACTTTCTTCCTAATTAGTCTTTCCTTCTCCCCACCTTTCCCCCATCACTGACTTTTCTAATAAAATACCTTTAACACCAAACACCAATCTCTGGGTCTTATGTTTATATCTGCAAGTTCCTTTCAATCCATCTCCATGGATTAAACGGCTTCCCCCACGCTGTCTCAAGGTTCATTACTTTCTTATCTTTCCTGATAATGTTTCCCTTCCCGACCAGATAACTTTTACTGTACTCTGAATTAGAGCTTGCCATAAGAGTTGCATCTACCCCTAAGCCCAGTTTCTTAAAATGCTTGGTATGATAATTAAAGGAAAGCAAGATATTAGACAGAATCTAAAAGTCTCTGTAGTGAAGGTAAACCACATATAAACAGGAATAGGAATCAGAAGTTTACAGGGAAAGGGCTTGGGTAGTAACATATTACAGTTGCAACATTAAGGTTTTTGACAACCATATAATATTGAACATTCTGGCACACACCACAGAGCAGCTGATGAAGAAATCTGAATTTACTGGTAGCCAAAGAGTTTCACAACCTTTGCAGTTTCCCCCTTTCCCTTCCTTTACTTACTTCTTGGAGGGCTTTTGCCACTATCATTACTGGCAACTTCTTCAGTAAACCGTGGATTATTGACTAAATTGTGAACTCCAAGAACAGCTAAAAAAACAAAGAGAAGCTGTTAGTATGATAGATACTAAATTAGAATTCCAAATTTTTAATGTTACTTGGGGAAATGAGTCTTCATGCATAGTATTCCTATCACCCAGACACTTATTTTCTCTTCTATCAGTCAGTTGGTAAACATTTATTAAGTGCCTATTATTGCACTAGGCACTGGAGATACAAAGACAAAAATAAAATGATCCCTGCCCACAGGAAGCTTATATTCTATCAAAGAACCTTGTCCAGATACTTGGCAGATGTTACAATAATAATAACTTATATTTATCTAGCAGTTTCATGTTATACACATTAACTCCTCTGATACTCACAATAAACCCTGTGAAGTAGGTGTCATTCTTATTCCCTTTTCACAGATGAATAAACTGAGGCTCAGAGCCATTAAGTAACTTTCTCAGGTTTACACAGTAAGTGTTTGAGGTGAGAAACCTCAGTCTTCCTGACTGCCAAGTCTAGAATTCTATCCGCTCTACCATAGTGCTTCTCATTCTGCTTATTCTATTCTTGGATCACACTACCTATTCAACCCTGCCTCTCAGAATTCCTACCTCTCTTCAAGGCTCATGTTAGACGCCATCTGCTATAGGAAAAAGTGATCTGTACACCCTTAATTGTCACTGTCTTTCCCTTCTCAAATTATAATATTTTTACTGATTTGTGCATAAGTTACATCCCTTCAGGAGAATATAAGCTCCTTTGGGACTTATATTCCTCATTGTATTACTATCCTTCAATTATCATATCTACCCTTTAAAAAAACTGATTGAGCTTAGGGGCAGAAGCAACTTTATAGCAAGCTCTAATTGTTTTTGTCTTTGCATCTCCAAAGCCTGGTGTAGTATCTTCTTCTTCTTTTTTTTTTTTTTTTGGTGAGGCAATCAGGGTTAAGTGACTTGCCCAGGGTCACACAGCTGGTAAGCGTCAAGTGTGTGAGGCTAAATGTGAACTCAGGTGCTCCTGACTCCAGGGCTGGTGTTCTATCTACTATGCCGCCTAGCTGCCCCCACAGTGTCTTAGAATCAGAATTTTTAAAAACCTTAAGGGACAGCTAGGTGGTGCAGTGGATAGAGCACTGGCCCTGGAGACAGAAGGACTTGAGTTCAAATACTGTCTCAGACCAGACTGACACTTACTAGCTGTGTGATTGGAAGGAACAAGTACAGTTTTGCATCAGTTGACATATTTGGTCCTTCAAGTGTTTATAAATGTTTGTTCAAATGAAAAGAAAATATCTAATGTGAGTTCCTCTTCTCCAAAAGTACATCTGAATTCATATCAGTAATTCATCATAATAGACTATGTAGTCATTGGCCCATATTACTGATTACCTGCTTTGGCCCTTTAGAGTCTAGGGAGACCCCAGGTAGTTAGCTCAAAAAAGCTCTTAACCAGAATCAGGAAACCTCTGATTTGATATGTCTCCTGAGATTTTACTGTAGATGTGAAATCTTTTTTTCCCTTTCCCAATTAAGTAAGTCACAGTTACTATGGAAACCAATCAATCTTTCCACCGTAATCTCTGGTTATCTGCTCAGTTCTTCACTTTCACTTAATTTTTTTTTTTAACAAAATGCCATTCTAAATATTGCTCTGATAGGGGTTGTAGGAACCTCTAATATATTTTCAGAAGCCTCAAAGAGTAGAATAAAACCCTGGTTTCCAACCTCCAACTTCCATGGAATTGAGATGGATCAGAAGTGCTCCTCTTGATGGAGAATCTCAAAGCCCATGTTTTCTGTTACAGTAGTGGAGAATTTGATAGGTGCAGGTAATGAGGTTTATTCAAAGCTTCAAGAGCTACAAAAAGGGTCCCTGAATCTTACATCTCACTCTTTCCTTTGTGGCAGGAATCTGACATTAAGAAATGGGGCCAGCCTCAGTCATTCTCTCTCTTCCATGTTGCCTTCCCCATGGAGAAAAAATAAATTTAGTGTTCTCTGGAATATGTCTAGAAAACTCACGTTTGAATATAAGAGAGCTACAGAAGCCCTGTGCCTTTGGTGTTTCCTCCTGGGTGATCCCCATGTAGGAGCATTCTCCCTCTACTAAAGCAGGCCACAACCCCTCTAAATTTTAGCAGGTGAATTTCTGAGATTTAAAAAAAATCTATCACTTGGAGAGCAATCTTCTGGTGGTGATTCTCTCTGAACTTAGCTAGACTGGTCTTTAGATGACAGACACAGGCTGGAGCCTTTCTCAATGACTTTCCAGTTGGGTGGGACCTGACAAAACTTGTACTCTGATGTTATAGACTTCAAGAACCCCAGGTCACTTATATATTGAGATTAAGACTTTAGAGTAAGATTTTAGTGTGGGAAAATACACAGTAATAATAATAATAGCTAGCATTTATACAGTGCTTTTATGGTTGCAAAGCACTTAACAAATATCTCATTTGATCTTCACAACAACCCTGGGAGATAGATGGTATTATTATCCCTGTTTTATAGATGAGAAAATTGAAGCAGACAGATGTTAAGTGACTTGCCCAAGGTCACACAGCTAAGTGTCTGAAGCTTCATTTGAACTGTGGTCTTTCTTCTTCCAGATCTAGCACTCTATCAACAATGCTACCTTGTTGTTGTTCAGTCCTGTCTGATTCTTCCTGACCCCATTATGGGTTTTGTTTTGTTTTTCCCCAAAGATACAGGAGTGGTTTGCTATTTCCTTCTCCAGTGGATTACAGCAAACAGAGTTAGTGACTTATGCAGGGTCACACAGCTACTAAGTGTCTGAGGTTAGATTTGGTCTTCTAGACTCCAGGCCCAGTACTCTATCCACTGAGCTATCTAGCTGCCTCAGTATTGTAGTAACAGTAATGAAAATGAGGATAACAATACCTAAAATACCCACCTACCTGGAGAGGTGGTGTGGTATAATGGATAGAGAATCAAAATGACCTAAGTTCACATACCACCTCTGACATAAACTGCCAATTAAACTCTGGGCAAGTTAATAGGTGGCTCAGTGGATTTACGCTAGATTTGAACTCTGGAAGACTTGAGTTCAAATCCAGCCTCAGATACTCACTTGCTATGTAACCCTGCGTAAGTCACTTAAAACTCTGCCTCAGTTTCCTCATCTGCAAAATGAGGTCCCTTTCAGCTTTTAAGTTATTATCCCATAAGTAATTATATACACATTTAACTTAATCTCTGAGTATTCCAGACAACTTTTTCAGACCAGAAATTGCACAATAGTTACTGAGGTGCATGGGCAGAGGGAGTTTTCTCATTGGGGAACTCCCTATACTGAGGAAATGACAAGTGATAAATCTGGACCAAAATTAAAAAAGTCCCTACACCTGCCAGGCTCATTGTGAGGCTAAAATGAGACAAGCTATGTAAATTACTTTGCAAGCTTTAAAGCCTTCTATAAATGTCAGGTGTTGTTAAGGTACTAAAAGGATATTGACACATCATATTATTCCATGGCTTATGGTGTAACATATATATATATATATATATAAATAACTATCTTTTTATCCAGCTAATTACCAACCTGCAAGATCATAGAGCTCAGTATCAGAGGCACTAGCTAAAGCTTCTTCCAGTTCTGGGTCAAGAGTCACTTTTTCTTCTTTATGAGTTTCTGTTAGCTTTTCCTTGGGGATAAAGATCCTTCCTTTGAAACAAACAAACAAACAAACAAACAAACACGACTGAGAATGACTGCTTTATTGACAAAGGGAACCAATTGCCTTGGAGGGTGTAGCTTGACAGCCATATCCTGAAACACTACTATACGTGTCCAACAGGGATTTCCCTACTAGCTAGAAAGAGGTCAAGATGCCTAGTCTGCAAGTCATCAGAAAGGCATTTGTAGTGGGGCAAAATGTTGATGTGGGGAGAGAAGGAAATCTTGCTGGTTTCTCTGTGCCTCATAGATATGGGGCAACTAGAGCTCTTAAAAAATATAGTGATCTGCTTGGTTATTTGATATTTAAAATGTTATTTTGTTAAGATGAAGCCGAGGAAGTAAAGAATTGGGGAACTCCTCAGGAATCCCTCTAAAAGGATGAAATCTAGGACACATCATAGTAAAGAAAGGTTCATTTATTCCTGTGATTTCTTCCTTCCTTCCTTTTCTCTTTCTTCCCTTTCTTTCTTTCCTTCTTTTCTTCTTTCCTTCCTACTTTCCTTCCTTCCTTCTTTCCTTTCTTACTGTAAATGACTAACTTTTTTTTTTTGAAACTGAGTATCTCTATTTTTCTCCCTTCGTACTAGTTCACTTGATGATCTCATCAGCTCCCATGGATTCAATTATCATCTCTATGTTAAAGATTCTCAGATCTACTTATTAAGCTCCAACCTTTCTCCTGACCTGCAGTCTTGAATCTCCAACTACCTACTGGACATCTCAAAACAGATGTCCTGCAGATGTCTCAAACTCAACAAGGCCAAAACTGAATTCATTATCTTTTCCTCAAACCCTCCCCCCTTCCAAACTTCTCTCTTACTGTCAAGGGCACTGCCTACTCACCCAGGCTTGCAAACTAGGAGTCATCCTTGACTTGTCACTCTCCTCTCTCACCTCCCATATCCAATCTGTTGCTCAAGTCTGTCACTTTTACCTTCTTCACGCTTCTTAAATATGCCCCCTTCTCTCTTCTGACACTGCCACTACCCTGGTGCCGGCCCTATCTCCTTACTCCTGGACCATTGCTATAGTCTGCTGGTTGGCTTCCCTGATAAGTCTTTCCCCACTCCAGTCCATCCTACACTCGGCTTGTGTCAAAGTGATCTTCATAAAACACAAGACTTACTGTATCACTCCCTCCCCCACTCAATAAACTCCAGTGGCTTTGATCATATCACACTCTCCTTAAGAGACAGCAATATTTCTCAGTGATCATTATTGATCTATACATAGCCAGACTAACATTTTTATATCTGGATTCCAAGCCTTTACTAGTGGCCCCAAAGTACCTCTTACATTATTCCCCAGCCTGATTTCTTTGTTTTTCTTGTCAGTCTTGTTCTTTTATCCCTTACAGCATCCTACTTCTACCTCAGACACCTCTCCCAAATTACACTTCATCTTGGAAAACCTTTCTACTCATTCTCTTCTTCTCCCCAGTTCCCCCATTCCACCAAGCTTTCTCTATCACTTGGGTAGCTCCTAAAATTCCAACTCCTCCCCAAAGCTTTTCAGAATGGATGTGAAATGAAGCAATTCCCTGATATATTTTATTAAAATCCTTCCCTTTGATATGTCTCCTGAGATTTTACTGTAGATGTGAAATCTTTTTCCCCCCTTTCCCAATTAAGTAAGTCCGCTACTATGGAAACCAACCAATCTTTCCATGGTAATCTCTGGTTATCTACTCAGTTCTTTACTTCTACTTAATTTTCTTAACAAAATGCCATTCTAAATATTGCTCAAGCCATCAGTCAGCGTGTGAACAATTCCAAGCAATTAAAGTCAGAAGATAGCTACAGCTACAAGCATGATGCTCTAATTTAAGCCAGTCTAGGAGCCTGGATGTTAGTGATTTGGCAGACTATGACATGTTACTGAAGCTCACATACTCTACCTGCAAGGCTATTAAGCCCTTTATCAGAGGAATACCCTTGGCTCAAGTCATTCTGTGGTTAAACAGCTTCCGCAGGCTGCTCTCAGCTCTGGGTGTGTGGGTGGGGAGATGCGTGAGGACTGGAAATAAGGACTCAGACTCAGGTGAGCTTTTCACCTGTTAGTTTAGTGTTCATCGGGAGAGATGTATAGACTGCTGACACGTGAACCAACCTCTAATGTCACTAACTTTAGTAGGTCTGTTGTTTAGGGCTGCTGCAGAGGGTTAACATGAAACAGACATACAGGAGAAAAGGCTTTATGGGAATTCTATGGCACAGAGCTAAGAGCCAGCATATGCCTGAGTGACAGAAAGCATGGGACCTTCTTCCACACACTACATTTATACTTTTCTCAAATCTCAGAACCCTAGGATCCAGGGGTGTGCTAGAGATGGTTCAAACCAGAGAGCTGATTGGTAGATTTTTCTGTGTGAGCACTTACACCTTAGAAATCAACAAATGCTACAAATCAGGGATTGATTTATTGTCTTGATGGTTTATAATTTAAAATGTGATGGAGAAAGTGTTAATAATGCAGATTAAACTTAGAAGCAGTGTCACGGATAATTTTTTTTTTGAGAGCTGGTTATTAAACATTTACTAGCACACCATTGCTTAAGATTCCCTCTGAAGTACCTTTTTTATGTTATCATCTGTGGATGTCCAATTCCTTTAAGTGAATTTTTTGTCAGCAATAAACTTCAGTGAGAAGCTACATGAAGTAACAGATAAAGTGGGAGTCTCCAAGTCAGAAAACTGTCCCACCACTGACATAAACTGGCAATTGGGCTGTGGGTAAGTCCTCTAACCTCTCAGTACTCCCCGCTAACTCTCTAAGACTATAAAATGCAAAACAAGTTACAGCTCTGTGTTAGTGCAAAGAGTTCTCCCTATCAATTAAATCACGGGTCTGGTCCAAAAAGAAGAAACAGAAAAAGAAGGGGAAAAAAGTACTGTCTTAGAGTCCATTTTTATACCTAGTGAGCAAATAAGGAAAAATGGGCCTTTTCCTGCCCCCTCCTCTCTTTTAGGTCAGCCTCCATTCTTGGTCTGATTGAGTTAGGCAGTAACCAGCTGGACCCAGGATGCAAATCTAATTTAGGCCTGGACCTTACCTTTCTTTTCTCCAGTGAAGGGTACAAAGTCTTCCCTGTCTTTATGTTCCAGGGCTTCTTTTTCCAAATACGAAAGAAGGTGCTCCCGATCAAAGGGGCCTGTGGCTGCTTTCTGGGTCTGGTCTTTCTGCCGGAAACCTGCTGGTAGGAGTGCACTCTGCCAAACGATAGGTTTGGTCAGGTGTTAGTGACAAGATAGGTCATCTGCCTGAGGTTTCATTTGCTATCTCCGTCCCCATTTACTAGTACAGGATTTCTGTCCAGTCAACTAAGGTTCTGTTCTCTCCTTAGTAAGTGGAGGAGGAGAAGGTCTGCCCTCCCCGGCAATCACTATGTGCTCTATTGAAGCTTACTAGGGGATGGTGAGGTGAACTGATCTGAAGGACCCTAATTACTTATCTATAGCAAGTGGTGTTATAGCAGGATCCCTGTCCCAGCATCCTTAAACAGTAGGAGTAGGTGGTCTATCAGGAATGCTAGGAGAGTATTTCTATAGCTCCACCCCAAGGAAAGTCAGCCGGGGAACTCCTGGTGGGCTCTCTCAGATGATGGCAAAGAGTGGGGACTCCCCACTGATACAGGAGAACTTCAAATGCTTTCTGCCTATCCACCTTCCAGAAACCTTCCAGGGTAGTGTAGGTCACGGTGACAAGCTAAAACTCAGGTCTCGTGTCATTCCCCTTCCCAAAATACTCCCTCTAGTGGCTCCTAATTGTTTCTAGGACAAAAAACAAACTTAACATATTGGCTCTTAGAACCTTTCATAACCCAACTTCATTGGAGGTTTCTAGGCTTGGTATACCTTACTCCTCTTTTGTGCCAAATTGAGGACATGTTATTCCTCATTCAAACATTCTGTCTCCTCCCTCCGTAACTCTGCTCAGGTGATTATCCCCCAAGACCGGGATTCATTCTCTCTTTACCTCCTGGCTTCCTTCAAATCTTGGCTGGTATGTCTTCTTCTACACGAGGCCTTCCCTTGATTCACTGAGCTGTTAGTTCCTCTCCATCCCCTATTTATTTTGTTTATATATTTACTTATACGCATACATGCTGCTTCCCCTGGTAGAATATAAGCTTCTTGAGGGCAGGAACTGTTTCTTCTTTGTCTCTGTATCTATCCCCTTCATCTAGCACTGTGCCTGTCTGTTGATTGATTGACAGCTAGGTTTCCTGAACTTTTGAGTTGCAGGAGCAATCCAAGGTTTTCTGTAACTTTCTTGTGGTCCAGGCTGTGGTGCCTGGAGCGTTTCAAAGCCTCCTTCCATAGGTCAGGGCTCAAATTTTGAACACCTTGTGTCTAGAGTGCTCCCACAGCCATTAAAGACAGATGTTCTGAATTGCAGAAGAAAACAACTTCATTTCATTTCACCATTACCAATTCTGCCTCTGGCTAGATGTGGATATTTGTTGTTGTTGCGCAGCTATATCTGACTCTTTGTGACCCCATTTGGGGTTTTCTTGGCAAAGATATGAGTGATTTGCCATTTCTTTCTCCAGCTAATTTTACAGATGAGGAAACTGAGGCAAATAGGGTTAAGTGACTTGCCCAGGGTCACACTGCTGGTCAGTGTCTGAGGCCAGATTTGAATTCAGGAAGATGAGTCTTCCTGACTCCAGGCAAGGCACTCTTTCTACTTGCACCACCTAGCTGCCCCATGTGAATATTAGGTAAACATTAAATGTAGACTGTTGAACCTCATAGTGGAAGCTAATATATATTCAGTTAATCAAAGGATCAGGGAATTTTAAAACCAATAGCTTGTCCAAAACTCTGTTTTACTTTGTTCTAGGCATGAGTTTATTATAAATTTTAGTTAAAGATTTTCTTGCAAAGTAATTTTGTATTTCTAGTAGTCACTAAACCCAGTATTCCCTACTCTAACCCATCATTCTAAAAACTGACAGAAGGAACAGTAAGCATATCTGTCTCCTTAACCTTGGAAAAGCTTTTACCATATGTTGAGTTGTGGTTTTTGTTTTTGTTGTTGTTAGTTTTTCTTTTTGTTTCTTTACTTTTTTTTTTTAAGTTACAGAGGTAGAGACAATATCCCTCATTTTACAGAGGAAGAAATGGACTCCTAGACAGATTAAGAGATTTTCCCACAGTCACACAGAAAGGGTTGGGCCAAGTCACCTGACTCCAAGTTCATCACATAATCACATGCTACTTCACTGTATACTTTTTATTAAAAAAATATAATCTGTCTACTGGAAAAGCAAATGCAGCAGTCAAAGTATCAGCTGTGCTAGAACAATTTGTAAAACATCTTAGATTATAAGAAAACCATCAGTTTAGATCCATCTAGTAATAAAATTGTACCAATTTAATCAGAGACTTTTAAAGTCTACCTTTGCACTATCTAAGAAAGGCTTTACTGAATAAAAAAAATTGTATCCACAATATTTTAAAGGGAATATTCATGCTATATAAAAAATAAGCTTCTAAAGAATCCTCAGAAGAGTTAAAAGCACCTATTTCATTCTATACACAATTAATGATTGCCTCATCAAAGAAGGTATCATTCTTGGCTAATCATTATAGTATCTCATCTATGGATCTCTGCAAGGCAGTTCTTTTTTATCTAGTTCAAATTATTTTATGCACTTGAAAGTAACAAAATGTTAATATTTAATAATATATTTATGAATTTTAATTAATATTGATTAATAATAATTAATATTTTAATTTTATTTTAATTAATTTAATAATATATTTAATAAATAAATATGTCTTATCTATTTAGCCTGGCCATCTCCAATTTGGTCCAAATTAGTGAGGTGTTACTAGTGTTTACACTCCATGGGATGCCAACAGCTATAGCTTATATACCCTTAAATGAGCCATACATCAAAAGTAGACTCTGTAGAGGCATGGAAAGCCCTCTAGATTCCTCTGGTCCAAAAGCCCGCACAGTTCAGAGCTGTCATGGAGTTGTATAAAAGTCTACCCTTGAGTCCAGACCAAACTGAGAGGGAATGTGGAATCATATGGACCCTTAGAATGCTGCCCTGGGTTGAATTCAGGACTCTAGAATTAAAGTCACTTCTACCAGAGGAATGGAGAAATTAAGGGACTTTCTAATATCACAGAGCTCTCCCCAGGAGGAGACTCAAGCTTAGAAGTTGGAGCCATAGACTTGTAGTTGGTGGCTCAGCCACGAAGGCAACTTAATTCCATGGTTCTCTCCATAACCACTATGCTCCATTTCCCTCTCACTCACCTCAGGATCTAGGTCATCCAGAACATTTTCCAACTGCTTTAGTTCCTCTTCTGAGAGTTTACCAAGAAGTTCATCTTCATCAATGTTCTTGTATTTTTCCAGTTCTTTTTGGAAAGGCAGGGCCATGGCTTCTTATTCAGGGTCTGGACACTTAGGCCACCTTTCTGATCTTCAAAAGTCTATGAATTAGAAAGAAACAAAAAATAACCTACTCACTTTGGTAAATCAGGCCACCAAGTAGTGCTCAGTTATGGTGGGTGTTGTTAAATTGTGTTGGACTCTTTGTGACTCCATTTGAGTTCTCTTGGTAAAGATACTGGAGTAGTTTGCCATTTCCTTCTCCAGCATTTTACAGATGAGGAAACTAAGGCAAAGAGGGTTAAGTGACTTGCCCAGGGTCACACAGTTTGTTGTTGATATTTATCCTTTGTTCTCGAGAGGACCATGACATCAGGGAGGGGATACCATGAAATGCAAGTGAACTGGATTTAAGTGCAAAGTCACCAGCCTTACTTTCTCCTCCACAGCTCTCTGGATCCAGTAGCTAGGTATACATCAGGATGACTGGAGACCACCCCTGATGCCTTTTAAAGCTAAGGTTTTTAGCTGGTCTCAGTTTGACTGAGGCCACGCCCAATCAGTGATTAAGGCTAGGTAAGAAATGAGGCAAAGAATGGCCTCTTTTACCTAGTTAAAAAAAAAATTTAATCTGGGAAGGGAAGACCTTCAGGGTTTCTGGCCAAAACAGAAACAATTGCTATTTAATTCACTCTGAGCCAATCAGGCCCAAACAATGACCAAATAGGGCTTGGCCTGGGACCTATTGTTGTCCAATCAAAGACAGCCAGAGTGCTTTGGGTTTAAGGTATGGTGCTTAAGAAAGCAATCTAGCTCGTAAACCCTAAGATATCTTACTAGGTTTCAGCCATCAAAATTTACATTCCTTTGGGCAGAGCACCTGCAGGTAAGGGTATGATACCCTATGTGAACAGAGGGAAGGGAAGGAAAGGGAAAAAAGAAAGAAATAAAGAAAGAAAAAGAAAAAGAAAGAAAGGAAGGAGGGAAGGAAAAAAAGAAAAAAAGAAAGAAAGAAGCTGTGTTGATCAACTGGCCAGTTCCGGTTGGGTCCCGTAGGGCAGCTCCTACCACTACTCACAAAGGCTGTTTGTCCTTCATTCTCAAAGAGGACCATGACATCAGGGAAGTGATACCACGACATGCAAGTGAATTGGATTTTAAGTGAGGCAGGGCTGTGCAAAGTCACCAGCCTGACTTTCTCCTCCAGACTGGTCCAGTGGCAAGATATAGATTAGGATGACTGGAGATGGCCTTCCACATAGCTAGTAAGTATCTGAGGCATGAATCTTCCTGACTTCAGGCTCTATCCACTGTGCCACCTAGCTACCCTAGCAGACCCTACTTATTGCAGCTGTTCTAGAAAACAATAGTTTGATTCCATTAACTGAGATTGCAAATTTCTGGGGGGCCTAGATTGGTCTCTGATTTCAACTTTTGTCTCCTCCAGGGTCCACAGAGTGCCTTGGACAAAGGAAATGCTTAAAGTACGATTGCTGAATTTGTTGTTGAACCTATTCTTGGAGAATACTGACTTGTAATAGAAAACCATTTAAAGAATAGTGAGGAAATTTTAATATTGTCAAAAGAAGCCTGTGTCATCATTCAGGGAGGGAATGATGAAAAGGACGAAAAATAGGATTCATTAAAGATGATGGGTTAGGAGAACCTCAATGGGGGACAAAGGAGATAAGGTAGAACAGGATGACAAGAGAATGAGGAAAATAGTAAAAAAAGACTGAAGGAGGAGAAGAGAACCTAAGAATTTTATAAGTAATTGCTAAGTTTCTTTGCAGAGCAATCCCCAAGCAAATTGTTATATCACAAGTTCTGGTGTCTAAAAGAAAAACTGTTCTTTTGACATCAGCATCTCAGCTAAATTGCCTCATTTGACTGTTGACTATTGGGTATGCCTGTGGTTAGGAGCAAAGAATCCAAGAATAGAGGTGAGATAAAGAAAAATAAAGTGACAAAGAAACAGAGGTGTGCCATTTTTTCTGAAGATCCACTATTCGAAGATCTCAACTTACCGAACAGAAACAGGATCCGGAAGGGCATTTAAAGATTATCTAATCCAATTCCTTTATCTTATAGATAAATCAAGAAGTGATTATTTCATCTAAAGAGAATATAAATCTTTGTGCCATAGAAGTATTTACTTGATGTTAAAAAAAATTATTGCTTTTTAAAAACTCCACATATAAATTTTCAGGAATATATCTCGTGTGTAAACATTGATCCCCACTTAAAGCATGTTGTCCAGGAATTATTAGATTTAACTTCTCTAGAATTGGATTGGAACGGCAATTGCTGTGTATAGATTAGGATGCCTGCTACTGGGCATATGATGGATAAGATTTGTATCTCCAAGCAGAATCTACAGGACACATGAACATCATTCAGCTCTCCTCTTTGGTATATTTTGTGTCTAAGTTCTGGACATATCACAGGACCTGACCTCAGACCCATATGCAGACACCTAGAGGAATAAATATACTATGTATGGGAGCCCCTGGCTGCCTTTCCCAGGGCATAGGCCACATAAAACACTGAGAAAAGTAGCAAGACATACTAGACCACCCCAGCTGAATATCTATAAGCACCCTAGAGCCTTACCTTGTTGTTAATGTGATAACTCTCTCCCACACCTAACTGTGAACCTCACAAAAGATGGATGACGTAACAATCGTCTACCAGCACTGATACCCACCGAAGCACTTGCCTTAACACTTTCTCTTCTTGAAACCAGACATGGTTCAGCTCTTTAGAATTCATTTCCTGGTTGTTTCTGACTCCCTCTCACCCTAGAGGCTAACAGTATAAATCTTCGCCTCTTCTATTTGAATGAAATACTTAACTAATTTAAGAAAGGCAATCCAGATGAACTAATGAAATGCCTACAATATAGCAAAGCTAAATAAATATTCAGATTTTAGTAAATTTAAAGAGGCAGCTAGGTGGCTCAGTGGATAGAGCACTGGGCCTGGAGTCAGGAAAACCTGAATTCAAATGTGACCTCGCACACATACCAGCTATGTGACCCTGGGTAGGTCACATAACCTTTATTTGTCTTAACCTACTGGATAAGGAAATGGCAAATCATTCCAGAATTGACATGAATTGAACAAGTAATTTTCAGGGAGTTTTTAAAGGGCAGCTAGGTGTCGCAGTGGATAGAGTACAGGGCTTAGAATCAGGAAGACTCATCTTCATAAGTTCAAATCCTGCCTCAGACACTTACTACCTGTGTGACCCTGTGAAAGTCACTTAACCCTGTGTACCTCAGTTCCTCATCTGTAAAATACTCTAGAGAAGGAAATGACAAACCAGCTGCCCCCACCAATCTATCTACTCTTCTCACACACTACTCATCTCCCTCTGCTTGGGCTATATGGCCTATTTGCTATCCCTGATCTCCTTTATCAGTGCCCTTGTACTTGGACTGTCCGCCAGGCCTAGGATATCCTCTCCTTTTTCACCTTTGACTCTTAGAATCCACAGGTTCCTTCAAAACTTGGCTCCAGTGCTACCTTCAGTGTCCTGGTACTCCCTTCTACAAATGTCTTCTCTTCTGTTACCTTCTATCTACATTGTCTGTACCTATTTGTGTACCTCTCTACCCCATAAGAACATAAGGTCTTTGAGGGCAGGGACCTGTTTATGCCTTTTCTTTGTATTTCCAGCCCTTCTCACAGTGCCTAGCCAAGAACTTAATAAATGTTTGTTGATTGACTGATTCAACATGGCCACTCCCAAGTTCATTTCACCGGAGCCCTTTTTCCTCACCAATCACATCTAATCAGTTAGTCTATCCTGTGGATTATATTTCTACATCTCTTGATTCCACCCCCTCCTATCTACTCCCACAGCGATCACCCTAGTTTAGGCAAGCCCCTGTTGCCACTTATTGATATAACAGCCTCCTTATATAGGTCTTCCCAACTCTATCCCACATACTGGTACAGACTGATTTTTCTTAGATATAAATTTGTTCATGCCATTCCTCTACTCAGAAATCTTTAGTATTTTCTGCACTGACTAACAAACAGAGGTCTAAAGCTTTTCTGTCTATTGTTCAGGGCCCTCTATAATCTGGTACCACAACACCTTTCTAGCCTTATGTCATGTTACTCACTTTCCCAAACTCTGTGCTAGAGTCAAAATGGACTTATGTGTCCTCTCATTCTCCCCTCCCTACACAGCACATATTCTATTCTCAGTCCTCTATGTCTTTGCTCATACTGTTTTTTATCCTTAGAATGCCTTTCCTTACCGGTCTTTACATACAGAATTCCTAACTGTTCTTTAAAGCCCAACTCAGATCCTACTTTTTCCATGAAGTCTTTCCTGATCTTTACTCAGTTCCAGCCTTCCCCCACTTATATTGGTATTCCCCATAGGCATCATATAGCACTTTGTTTTGTAATTCTATAATGGACTTATCAAAAAAAAGATGGTATTTTAATATCTTGTAATGCTATATCATAGCTATTAAAAATGACAAGCTTATGGACAATACTATACATGGAAAAAGTGGCTAAGAATTAATGTTGAGTCAGAAAAAGGATGCAAAATAGTAGGCATATACTGACTCCAATTTCATATGTGCACTTTATTTATAAGTATGCAAAAAAAGGAAACTAAGAAATAATCATGATGTAATCTTCAGTGATTTTTTTTGTAAAGTTATAATTTTTAAGGATAAATTATGCATAATAAAAAATTTCATGAAATTTGAACTATATATCCAATTAAAATTTTAGAAGTGTGTTCCTATGGAAAAACTTTTATCTGAAAAGTAATATTTGCATGAAAAACATGCAGACTTTAAAATGCTCATAAAAAGGAAAGGGAAAAATTAGGCTAAAAATGTGGCTTGGGGCCAGGATAGGGAAGGCTTAGGATACCATTTCAAGAAATTTGGATTTTATTCTATAAACAATGGGAAGCATAAAAGATATACATACCCAAATATACTCCTTCTATTTAAAAATTTTATATTATTTTACTTTTATATCACTTATATTTCCTACTATATTCCCTCCCTCACTCCGCCAATGGAACTATCTTTTATAATAAAAGATAAAAAAAGGAAGAAAAAAAGTTTTACAAAACTAAATAACATAACTAAAAAATTTGACATTATAAAGAATATCCCACACTCATGAGCCTGTACTTCTGCAAAAGACTGGGGGAAATATCTTCTGATGTCTTTCCTTTGGGGTCAAATTTGGTCATTATAATTTCCTACTGTTCAGTTTTGATTGTTTTGTTATTCTTTCTATTTACACTGTTGTTGTCTTTGTTAATAATATTGTTTTCCTAGTTTTACTTCCCTTTGTCTCAATTGATACATCTTTTCATGTTTCTCTATATTTATCATATTCATAGTTCCTTACAGCACAGTAACATTTCATTATACTCATGTACCCAATTTTTAGCCATTCTCCAATCAAAGAGCTTCTACTTTATTTCGAGTTGTTAGCTACTACAGAAGTGCTGCTATAATATGTTGGCATATATATGTGTATGTATATGTGTGTGTACATATATAAATATACACATATTTGTGCATATACATATGCATACACACATATATATCCTTTTAACCCTTCTCCCCTCTTTTTTGGTCACTGACCTCCTTGGAGTACGTGCCTAGCAGTAAAAGCTCTGGGGCAGCACATTTTAGTACTTAATAATGACTGTAATTTCAAATTGCTTTCCATAATGGTTGCTCCACTTCACAGCTCCAACAATACATTAGCACACTTCTCTTTCCATAACCCTTCCGTTGATTATTCCCATCTTTTGTTATCTTTGCCAATTTGCTGGCTATCACCTCTACTAATGTCCACTAATACTGACAGAGTTACAGACATATTTACAAGTCTGTATATCCCTTTTTTGGTCCAGAACTGTGATTTCATTGGGATGGGGAATTCCTGGTGATAAAATTCCTTCTACGAGTGCAGCTCAGCAACTGTTTTGCAATTTCTGGTCTTACAGAGTTGCCTGGGAACCTGAGAAGTTATGATATAAGGCATTATGTGTCAAAGCCAGGATTTGAACCTAGGTTTTTCTGGATTCAAGGTCAATTCTCTCCATTCTATTCAATCTTTCTAGGGGTGAATGGTACATGCTAGATATTCCCAGATATACACGTAAACATAAACATGTATGTGGTGGTTAGAGATTTATGCAAATATACATGTCTGTGTATCTAGTTTAAATCCAATTAAGGTAAATAACCTTTTGTTCCACAGTAAGGAGCTATTTTCATGCCTGTTCCAAGAAATGGCCTATGATAATACTTATTTGCTGATTTGGTGAATAGGAATTCTCTTCAAGCAGCATCTAAGTGTCCTGTTGGATAAAGCAATGAGGTCAACATCAAGAAGAGCTGAGTTAAAATATTCCATTAGATGCTTATTAGCTGTATGATCCTGGGCAAGTCACTTAACCTCTGGGAGCCTCCATTTCTTCATATGTAAAATGAAAAGGATAGAGCAAAAGCAATGCAGTATAGTGGGAAGAGCATATGACTTAGATTCAGGAAACCTAGATTTGAGTTTTTTACTTACTAGCTGTGTGGCTGACCTTGGGCAGTCAATCAATCAATCAATCAAGTGAAAACCATTTACTAAGTACTTACTAGGTGCTATACAAAAACAAAAATGAGATTGTCCCTCTTCTCAAAAAGTTTACATTTTATAGGGAGGCAAGTCACTTCAGTTCTCTAGTACTAAGAATCCTTAATCTGCAAAATACAGGGGTTGATCTAGTAGACAATTCTTGACTTTTCTTCATGTTATAGACCCCTTTGTAGTCTCATGAAGCCTATGGACTTCTCAGAATAATGTTTTTGAATGCATAATAGAAATTATGTAGGATTGCAAAGGAAATTAACTATATTGAAACAGTTGTCAAAATATATTTCTAAAAATCAAGTTTATAGAACTCAGGTTAAGAACCTTAAGATAATCACTAAAGTCCCCTCCACATCTAGAATCTAGTTTCCATTTTCCTGACACCTTATTACCTTGGCCATGCTCCGCCCCTGGCACCTTTCTTCCTGGTGCTGATACCCTATCACTCTCCTATTACTTTACTTCCACCAAATAAAGATAACATAAGATACCAACTTACAAAGACAATTTAAAGGAGACAAATGAAGCTTATAACTTGATAAGGTTACATCAGTAAGTGAAGCAGTATACTTTGTTCATACCTGGACAGGGAAAAACAGTGTCGAATAAAATCTGAACTGTACAGACTGAGGAAAGCTATTTGTTTTAAACAACAACCAGCAGCAACAATTACCAAAAAACAAACAAACAAACAAACAAAAACCCCACTTAGATGGTGTCCATCTGTCCATTCCTCAGGTGATACACCTCTCTGATCCATGATTACAAAAAAACCTCTCTCACCTCTCCAGTTCTCTGAATGAGAATCTTGATTCAGGGGGAAAAAAACAGTAATGAAAAACATGTAATGGGCACAAGATGGTGGGCTAAGGAGTTTGGGCAGGGCCAGACTTTAGCCTTGCTAGCAGTAAAGTGCTCCAAATTGCTGGTCTACACTTTTGGCAGTATTTCTCTCCTTTCTCCGTCATATTTAAGTACAACAGCTATCTCTTGCCTTCCTCAGCCTTCATTCTTATGGACCAACAGGGAAAATCTAGAGATGGGAGGGACAGCACAATACTTTTACTTCAATCAGACTATATTAAGGGCGGCAAAGACACTCAGTAAGCAGCTTTCAGGCATCCTTCGTGGATGCTGAAATTTCCCTAAGAATGACAGCTCAATTTATGGAGCTGTTACTGCTATTTTAAATGGCCCTGTTTACTGGGTTTCAGCCCCCGTTTTCACGAGCCATGGAGATGTCTAAAGCCCCCCACATTTACTGAACACGTACGGTGGATGAAGTCTGAACAAAGCAGAGCGTTCAGAAGCCCCAGCCCAGCCCTCCAGCACTGCGGAGGACACGCGGGAGGGGGGGATCCAACTCGGGCGTCTCCTAGACTGCAGCTAATCCCGGGGCCCAGGAACTGTAGCAATGCAGGGGGCGAAGCGTGGGACCCGAACCCCAAGGACCTCGCGCTCTCCAGTAGCGGATCAGTGCTCTCCCTAGGGAGCTGGATGCACAGTCCCTCCCAGGGCAGGGTGGCACCGCGCAGCACTCATTCTCGAGGACCGGGGTGGGGGCAAAGCAAAGAGGCCACCACCCAGCGGGACACCCATCACCCGGCCGCCCCAGCTCTGCATTGAGAGCATCTTCCAACCCGGGCTGCGGGTGGCCCCGACAGGGAGGGAGGGAGGGAAGAAGGGTGCGGTGCAGCCGCCGCCGCTGCTGCGGTCCCGGGGACATGTCGAGCAACAGCGCCTGGAACAGCGCCTCTCCCGGCAACCCAGCGGAGATAAAGCTCGGCCGAGTCCCCACCCATCCCGGGAGAAGCGGAGGGCTGCCTTACCCATCAGTGCTTCCATCTGGGAGCGGGCTCTCAGCATGTCAGGGCGTCCGCCCGCCTGTCCGCTCGTCGCCCTTTCTCGCCCGAGGCAGGAGCTAGGTGGGAAAAGGTGGGGAGGCTGGCTGGGGAAAATGCTAAGCAGGGCTATCAACAGGCTAGTCAATTAGCCTGGAGGCGGCTGCGCGACCTCGATCCAGGCTTGGAGAGCGGAGCACGCCGGGAATCGTAGTCCAGGATCAAAGGATGTGAGATGCAGGATCGGAGGCGGGACCCCAAGGCATAAATTATCTCTTCTCTTGCCTTTCACTCTCTTCTATCTGTTTGTGTCTCCCTCACCTTCCCTCCCCCTCCCCCCAACTTCAGGAAATAGATGTTAAAATAACATAACCAAAATGTACTGGAAAGTTGTAGACACATTATCACCTTTTGGATTTCAAGAAAGCTGAAATTGACCCCTTTGGGAATAGCAGGGTCTGTGGATTGGGGGGGGGGGTGGAGGTTTTTCAAAGCTGTGAAGAAATCGAGATGAATGAGTCACAACCTTTCCCATCCCAACGGAAGGTATTATGAAACGGTGTGTCCTATTCTAGTCCGAGTCGCAAATGTCAACATTAGGCTGTAGAGACATCAATTTTTTGGACTTCAGGGAAGAGCTGAAATGGATCCCAGAGCTATATGAATAATGGGGGTGGAGGTTTTTCAAAACAGTGAAGAAATCGAGATGAGTGAGTCACAACTTTTCCCACCCCAACCCCAAAGGAAGGCATCGTAAAATGGAGTGTCTGATTCCAGCCAGTCTAGGTCCCAAATGTCATCATTTGGTGGCACTGGCTGGAATGGGTACTGTTCCTGGTGTAGGGGAATTGTTGGTTGGGCTGAGAGTTGGAGAAGAAGAGCCAAAGGAAGAAATAAGAGGGACAGTTAGGGGAAGGCTGAAATCAGATTGTATTTAGCTTGGCCTGGCAGATTGGGTTGGGAGTAGGATGGTAGTTGCTGCCTTGAGGTCATCTGAATTATTGTTAAACTGAATTACCTGGGAGTGTATAATTTGTTGTCATAAAATCATAGACTTAGATTCCCTAAGGAAGGGACTTTAGAGGCAATTGAGTCCAACCTCCTCCTTTTTATAGATGAGGAAAATAAGAGAAATTAAGTGACTTGGCCCACATCATTATGTCACCATGGATGAAGAGAACCTTTTTATTTCTGAGACCTTTTTTTTTATCCCCCTCCACTCTTCACCTACCCCTACTTCACTCTCTCAGAGATCATGTATCTGAAAATTATGGCAGATCTGGCTTGGAGTTAGGAAGACTCATCTTTCTGAGTTCAAATCCAGCTTTAGACACTTACTAACTATGTGATCCTGGGCATATCACTTAACATGGTTTGCCTCAGTTTCCTTATCTGTAAAATGAACTGGAGAAGGAAATGGCAAAGCACTCCAGTATCTTTGCCAAGAAAATCCCCCCAAAAGGGGTCAGTCAGACATGACTGAAATGACTAAACAACAGCAATATAAAACAAATACCTATATAATACTGTATGCCCTTGTTACTGTGTCTGAATATGTAGTTGATATTTTCTCATGTTTTTGAAATAAAGTATTTTGAATATATTTTTAAAAAATGAAGGGAAGGGACCATTGAGTCTAACAGGGGTGGGAACTTGCGGCCTTGAGGCCACATGTGGACCTCTATGTCCTCAGGTGTGGCCCTTGACTGAATCCAAACTGCACAGAGCAAATACCTTCAATAAAAGGATTTGTTCTGTAAAACTTGGACTCAGTCAAAAAGCTGCACCCAAGGACCTAGTAGTAGTAGTAGTCTCAACGTCGAAGGTTCTCCCGCTCTCCCCCCAAGCCTAATCTTTTTACTTTACAGATGAAGAAACTAAGACATTAAGTAACTAAGAAACGAAGTTAAGAAAGTTTCTTCTAATTAAGAAACTAAGAAATTAAGTAACTAGGCCCATGTCAAACATCTAGTGAGTGTCTGAGATGGGATTTGAACCCACATTTTCTTGACTCCAAGTTATGTGGTCAAGTCCTTTCATTTTATAGAAAAGAAATTAAAGTAAAAAGGTTAAGTGATTGGTCCCAAGGCTCACTTTAATAGTGCTGGGGAATTGAACTAGGTGTTCCAGATCTAAGTTTGGTGCTCTTCCCACTATACTATGCCACCTCGTAGTACTTTTATCTACTGAAATATAAATAGTGGAGGAAAGGGAAGGGAATATGCATTTATATAGGACTACTATATGCTGGGCACAAATATTATCTCATTTGATCCTCACAACAACCCTGCTTGGTTGGTGCTATTATTTCTCCCCATTTTACAACTGAGGCAACTGAGGCAAGCAGAAGGGACTTGCCTAGGATCACATAGCTAGTAGTCTGAGGGTGAATTTAAACGCAGGTCTTCCTGATAGGCAATCGCTCTATCCACCTCTAGTTAAATATACACACATACTTACATACATATATATATACATACATATATATATATAATGTACACACATATATGGCTTTGAAAACCACCTCTGACACTTAGTAGCTGTGACTCAGTTTCGTTATCTGTAAAATTATCATAATACCTGTAGCTGCCACATCATAGGGTTTTTGTGAAGTTCAAATGAGATAAATGTACGTAAAACTCTTCAACACTTTGAACCACCATATAAATATCAGTTTGTAATTGTGAGTATTTGTTTTGTGGATTTGTTCCAATCAATCAGCACCTTTTTGGTGAAAAAAGGATGATAAAAGGGATCCAATGAGGTCAGGCTACAAACTCTATAATAGGAGTTCTTAACCTGGGATCCACGAATAGTTTTCAGGGGATCCATGAGATTGAGATGCTAAAAGTATTTTGACAACTGTCTTTCATCAAAATTTGTTTCCTTTGTAATCCTGTGTGTTTTATTTCATGCATTTAAAACCATTATTCTGAGAAAGGGTCCATGGGGTTTCACCAGACTGCCAAAGGGTTGCATTCATGACACAGACAAGACTAAGAACCTCCAATCTAGAAGGAAGGTAAATTATGTTATCTACCTATTGCTAGAGAGATGAGGGACTTAATCAGAATGAGACATGCATATTTAGTCATGGCCAACATAGGAATTTGTTTTGCTAAACTATTTATTCTTATTGTTTGGGGTTAAAACAAAAAGTCCTTGTCTTTTCACAATCCTTCCAACATTGCCCATTTCTATTTTTTTTATCATCTTTGCCAATTTGTTGGGCACAAGGTAAAGCTTCAGGGATATTTTCATTTTTCTCTTATTATTACTTAATTTGGACCATTTTTCATATCATTGTTAATAGTTTGCATTTCTTCTTTTGAAAACTGTGTCCTGTATGCATTTATCCACTAGCAGCGGTTTTAAAAATTCTGTTCAAAATTTCTGTTTAAATTTGTTATTCCACCACATGTAATCATAACAATCAAGCCTGGCCCTGAAGAAGAAAGGAAAAAATGCTATGCCTTTCTTTCTTCGCAGATAGTGGGCCTTTGGTATAGAATATTGTGTAAAGTGTCAGATTCGGCAAATGTGGTAGTTTTGCTAAAATACTTTTTTCTCCCCTTTCTTTTATTCTTTGTTATAAGGAATGGCTCTCTGGAGAGAGGATGGAAGAAATTTATAAAGGTGACATAAAAACAAAAGATTATCAACAAAAACTTTAAATTGCTATTTTAAATGTTCTGTTCTATATAAGGGATCTATGAAATGTTTGATATGGATTTTCCCTTCTGTATCTTTTCATCCTGTGCAATTCTTGCCTATAGCCTTTCATAAATCCTCTAGAGAGAATCTGTTCAAGGGCTGTTAGAGCCCTTTCTTTGACTATTTTAACATTCTCTGGGTACTTGCCCTTAGCACCCAGTAAGTACTTGCATACTTACTTGTAGACCTATATTTATTCCTTACTCTCTTGATACCTAATCATTGTCACTTACTTCTTCTGATGCTACATTTCCTTGAAGGTGTTTTTATATCAATTCTTGAACCCAAATCATTATTGGCAGAATACTTTAGTATTTTTACGCCCATCATGATATATTTTTCTTGCAGACAGTTACTATTGCAGGAGAGAGGTCTTTGGACCTGGAGTCAGGAAGACCTGAGTTCGAATGTGACCATAGACATTTATTCACTAGTGGTGAGACCCTAAGCAAACCACTTAATCCCTGTTTGCCTCAGTTTCTTCACCTTCGAAATGAGAATACTATTAGTGCCAATCTTGCTGGGTTGTTGTGACAGTCTGGCACATAGTAGCTTGTTTCCTTCCCTATTACCGTTTGGGGACCACTCACAGTTCTTTAGACTTGTTAATTTTGTCTTTATAACCCTAGTACCCAGCATGGTGCCTTGCACACAGGTTCAGATATTTAGAGCTGGAAGGGACCTCAGAAACCATCAAGCCCGGCTATAGTAGGGACTTGTTGAACTGAATCCTGGAATGCTCCTCTTCCTTACGCCTGCCTCCCAGAGTCCCTAGCTTCCTTTAAAGTTCAGCTCAAACACCACCTTCTATGTGAGAACCTTCAGTGGGAGTACATTAGTGTCAAGTTTTGGGTCAAGGAGCAGTTTAGGATCATTAAAAGTGCTTGGAAATTTCCCAAATGCCATCTAGGCTGTTCCTCTCCTATTCAATTCTAGACTGAGCCCAAAGTTCGTCTGCAGTGTCAATTCACAATACATAAGTTCTGGCTGACTAAATTAATGGACTGGTTACCTATCCAATTGCATCTGCATCCTACACCATCACCAATCACCTTGATTTTTGTCTTGCCACTGGACTTTGATGGCTCTGGAAGACAGAATGAGGCTGATGACTTTCCACAACACTGCTTCACTTAAATCCAATTCACCTGCAAGTCAAGACATCATCCTCATAATGTCATTGGTCCTCTTCCAAAATGAAGAATGAACAACAAGGACAGTTGTAAGCATAATTTGTATAATAGGAATTCTGCAGCAATTTGGTTTCTAGGTTGTTAGGTTAGTGTCTTTTGAGTGGTCATTAAGAGGTAAATGTGAGAGTTATAAGGCATATGGAGAGTAGGCATATGGTCCCTGTAACTGAGGCAGTTCTTATGTTTGTTTCCAGTAGCAATTGGGTATTCAATCAGTACCAGCACAGGAAGATC